GATGTGGGCTTTTCTCAATGGACTGAAATATTTTGGATCTCTCTCCATTAAAAAAAATAATGAGGGGGTTTCCTCAAAGAGCCCTTACTCATTACATTTAGACATGTTCACGATTCGGGTTGGGCCGATTCGCTGGTCAAAATATCTCGATTCTTGACCGGATACTAAAACTCAAGATTTTGAATTGGTGACATCTCGACGATTCACAGTTTCGTCTAACTGGTGCACGATTATGGCTAGCCCGTTCAATGGATAGACTTAGGGGTGCAAGTTGGAACGAATTTTCCAATTTCCGCCAGTTCCGATCCGAAAAGTTCCGATTTTGGAACAACTTTTTTCATTCCGACTTCCGAAATTCCGATTTCCGAAATTTTCCGATTTTTTTGGATTGGAATTGGAATTATATAAAATAAATTTGGAATTTCCGATTTCCGATCCGATTTAATTCCGAAATTAATTCCGAAAAATTCCGAACTTTTTCCGAAAAATACACCTATAAATAGTATATATTACATAATACTTATTTTCCGAAAAATACACCTATAAGTTTTGTTTTAGGATTTTGACATAATGAATTTTTGTTAGAAGTTTTATTGGATATTATGTTGTGTTTATTTTTATTTATTTTTTTGAACAGAAATTTAGTAGTTATTAGTTTTACTTTTATCGACGTGGATGCTCTTATTTTCAAAAAATTATGAACATTTTAGAAAATTTCGGCAAAGTTTTGAAATTTTAAAGCTTATGTGATTTCCGAATTTTTTCCGAAATTCCGAAATTTCCGGGCCTTTTGGAATTGGAATGAATTTTTAGATTCCGAAAATTTTGGAATTGGAATTGGAATTGATTTTGTACTTCCGAAATTTTTTGGAAATTTTCCGAAAAGGTTAATTCCGATCCGATCCATCCGACTTTCACCCCTAGATAGACTTGTGTTATTTTTTAACATTTAAAAAAAATGCACGGAAAACTAAAACTAATATGTTACACGGTTCGACCAGTTGGTTTAAACGATTCGGCCATAAATACGAGAGATGTATATGTAATTAGACCTAACGTCAATGGTAATTAGAATTGGTTTTAGATAATTAGAATTTTAAAATGGTCAATTGTTGCAAAATTTCCAAATCAAAGGATCTAATTGTCATTGCACATAACTTGAGGGGAGGGAGGTGTAATTTACCCTTAATTTTATTTAATAAAAAATAAACTTCTATATAGTTTTTTTTTTCCATGTTACACAAATTATGAAATATTATTTTAATTTGGAAAGGGCTACACAAATTCAAATATTTTGGGCTTAATTATAGCCCATATGTATTGGGCCACCCATACATTCGAGTATTTTCAGATACTATTAATATTGTTCAATTTTTTTACAAGAAGGAAATATCTCGATAAATTTAATTCAACACGCATGCAATTTACTCGCTTTTGTATGCTGCATTCGGTGAAATACATCAGTTGATTTTAAACCATAGATTTACAAATAATAACACATATACCCATGTGTATGTGTGGTTGGTTAATTATACAGATCTACGGTTTAAAATCACCCGATATATTTCATCGGCGTGGCATCTCATATAGTCGATTTACTCTTTTTATTTCTAAATTTTTAAATTTCATACCAATATTTTCTCTCCAGTTATTGCAGTATTAATATCATCATTAACTAATGAATGTCACTTGTAAACGTGTGTTGTTTCTGTACTATATCTAGGTAACTAATACTATATCTAGGTAACTAATAATGGATAAATTGATACATTTTGATGGAAGTCAAAAGAATAAATTAAAATAAAATAAAAGGAAATCTTCTACGATCTATTTAATCATGAGTTCGAGTCATCTGAATAGAAATTAAGGAAACTATGTGGGGAAAAACACAATTTTGATATGTTTCATTTCGCCTTATTATTTTTATTTAATTCCATTTTATTAGAACATTTTATAGATATGTCACTAAAACAAACTGAAAAATTAAAGTTTATTTCCAAATACCATTACAACTAATATTAAGGTGGCGTTTGCAAAAACTTATTTAAAAATAGAAATCAGTAATTATAAGTTAAGTTAATATTTAGTTCTGTTTGGAAATATGTTGGAAAACCAAATTAAAAAAAAAAAAGATCCAGAGATGCTTTTCAAATTATAGTTTAAAGAAACTTATTCCAAGAAAAACAAAAGCAAAAACTAAATTTTCAATACCTAAAGACAAATTATAAGTCAGAAAAAAGTCTGAATATATGTTACTAAAAGTTTTTGCCAATAACACCAAAGTTAGCTAGTTAAAGTCACTTTTTAAAATATTTTGCACACACCCCAATAAGTATTAACAATAATCAAATTATCTCAAATTTTACCAATTTCTATACATTTAAAAAAACACCAATGGTTGAAGAGAGTTGAAGTTATAATACATAGTGAAGGCCCCCCTCAAGTAGCTATGTAATTTAATTAATGATTGCCAACTATTTCATATTAATTTTTTGTTTTAAAATGAACTGGAGTAGGACCAAATTATCTCACTACTATTAAATATTAAAAATAATTGCCCCTACCTATTTTGTACTAGGACCAAATTATCCAAACACCCCTTTTACTTTTCTACATGACCACATAAATATTTATTTATTAAGAGTTCTTCATCTTCTTCTTACTCATAGAGTGCTTTGGTTTTATCATTTTAAAAGGAAAAAAACAAATTTTCAAAACCATGGTCTTAATTCACCTTAATTCACAATGATTAACAATAATCTACAAATCGCACGATAGGTGTAAACCAATTTAGAACGAACTATCTGTGACAAATGTCTAAACTTGACAAGGGAAATTGAATTTGAATGTTTAGACATCGCATTGGTAGAGCCTGTATATCGCAGAGAAGGCCATGTCCCCCTTAATATTTCTCATATCTATGTTATTCTATATAGAGAATTTGTGTATAATAGCATTAGCAGCCCTTCTAGAATTTCTTTTAATGCATCCAGTCTCCGAACTTAAAATTCTGGCTCCGCTAATTCATCAACTAGCGGAGGAAGTTTCATCGAAACAAATCCGATCTCAAACGTCGAGTCGTGTAATTACAACGTTGTTAAGAAATAACAAAATGTTATATTATAAAATTATAGTAAATAAAATGAATAAAAAGGTTTAAAGAAATGCAATAAAATAGTCCTTTTCAATTTAGGTACGAAACAACCATGCTCATAGAAGATGAGCATTGAGAAGAACTTTCCAAAATGGGGATAATGGATTTGTTACTAATCATTAATTAAAAGTAATCATTAGTATGGGTTTTTGGTAGTTGATAGGGAAATAGTACAACTCAACACAGCTCACTTGCACTTTTGGAATATCAATTAATTATATTCATTATTTTTATTAATTATATTATAACCTATGGTCCAACTTTATCATATTAATATCATATGTTTAACATTAGTAAATTATATTTAAATATTATCTTTTCCTAAAACAATTGTGTTTGATTTGTCAATCACAACTACAAACAAGTATTTGGTAGGGGAATTATATACAATATCATTATATAATATTATTCTACCTTACCAAAATATTTTAAAAAAATAAAATAACACACTTATTTATTTTATTAAATTCAAGAGAGAAGATAATAAATTCTTAGTATCCAAATTAATTATTATTAACTAAATTAGTTGACTAGTATATGTCAAAAATATCTATGCATTAAATCCTATTTTTGTGGCATTTAAAGTATGTTTATGCCTTGAATTGCATTGATAAATAATTGGAATACGCACTTAATTCATCGTGTACCGAACTTCAGTATACCAAACATTTTGGTAGGATAATCGTATTGAATTTGATCATACCGAAATTTCGGTCATGGTAATAGTATGAGGCGTGTGGTAAGGCAACCGTACTTGCCCGATATACCAAATTAAAATTTGATGCCCCTATTTTTACAAATAAGGGCTTGTGTGTAATATTTTTTTGTCTTATGTAAAAGACAAAACCTAGCTAGATTGTATTTTAATTTTGTGGTTCATATATAAATAATTTTTTCATCTTGTGTAAAAAAATTGCATTATTTTCTATGTAATATTTCTTATAATCTTATCCCAAAAAAAAGTATGGCACAGAGCTGTTAATTTGCTTTGTACCACTAAACTTTATATAATTATCATTAAAACCCCCAGAAAAGAAAAATGTAGACGGCCCAGTACATATTAAATGTTGACCCTCAAAAGCAACCTTTTTCGTTTTAATAAAAAAAATCTAAGAGATTATTTAAATTAATGCAAGTGGTGTTTGGACAAAGTGTTTGGTAAGAAACAAATATTTAAATTAAGAAGCCATAAATCAAATTTTCATGTTGGCATGATTATATATAGAGATATAAATATTAAATATTAAATGATTCACCTTATTAACAACTTAATATTTTTGAAGGAATTAATTCAATTTTTTAAAATTATTTTTAACCTTACGAATTTAAATAAGAGAAGAAACAAATATTTAATAACTATTTTGATATTCGGTACAGTACGGCATACTGGGCATCAATACCATATACTGTATCGAATACCGGTATTCCGATTTTTTTTACCGAATATCGAACTGAATTTTCGATTCAGTATTTGGCACATACCAAATTTTCGATTCGATTTATCGGCCGAGTGAACACCCCTAATAGGAAGTCAAATACCAATTCTCCAATAAATCAAAATAAACCAAAACTCACATTTTTTTCATGATTGCGGCCAAACTTGAAAAATTATTGAACTAACCAAACTTTAAATTAGACCAATCAATTAATTAACAACACTTATCTTATATTGTTTGCATATGGTCCAAAATCAATATAACATCTATAAATTAATATAATATTAACTAACAAAATTCTATTAATTTAACAAAATATTAAATTATCGAATTAATAATTTAGTATGTTTTTTTATCGAATGAATACAGTATGAAAGAAATTATCTTTTAAGCGAAGTTATTAATTTATCGAGTATTAATTTATCTATATTTTAGTGTATATCCTAATTTATGGACCACATAACAAAAAAAACTTACAAAAAATTCCCCACGAAGTTGAATTTTGTAAAAAAAGAAAAGGTGAAGGCTTAATAGAAATTTGAATATAGTGCGCTCCAACGTTCAAATTACCATTCAGATTCCTCGTGAATCAAACGGTCATAAAATTTACATGTGAGCATCTTCAATTTTCTTTTATTTATTTTATTAAAAAATAAAAATTTACCATCAATACTAATATTATTATTATTACCAAATATTATTTTCCAGGCTGCTATAAAATGGGGAGACAAAGTTTACAGACACACATCATCCAATTTTCCTACACTTTGAATTTTCCCACTATCTTTTTTCCCCATCATTATACCTTGTTGTCAAAGTAACCAAACAAACACCTTTTTTTTCCCCTATTATATATTAATAATTATTTATTTATTTCATTTCATGGAATAATAATAAAAATACTTTCTTGAATTTTATTATTTCTCCATTCTTGAAATAAAAATTCAATCTTTTTTTTTTCCCACAAAAAAAAAATGCAGTTTCTCATTTTTTCTCTGATCGCCACCACCGTCTTGATTTTCCCCTCCACCACCACCCAATCAGAAACCCCGCCGCCGCTCTGCTCGGCGGCGGACAGAGCAGCCCTGCTCAATTTCAAGGCCGGAATTTCAAAGGACACCACCGGAATCCTCTCCACCTGGACAGGCGCCAACTGCTGCTCCGGCGGCTGGGAGGGTGTCGAGTGCGGCGCCGCCGCCGCCGGACGAGTCACCACCCTCATCCTGCAGAACCCATCTTCCGGCGGCGGCGCCGCCGCCGGTTTCATGAAGGGCACCCTCTCCCCTTCTCTGGGCAACCTCCGCTTCTTGGAGACGATGATCATCACCGGAATGAAAAGACTCGCCGGAAAAATCCCGGAAACCCTCTCAAACCTCACGCGCCTCACGCACCTAGTTCTTGACGACAATTCATTACAGGGAAACATCCCTTCAAGCTTAGGCCACCTGGTGAACATTCAGACAGTTTCTTTAAGTGGGAATCATCTGACAGGACAAATACCTGAATCTTTGGGGAATTTAAGGTACCTGAATCAATTGATTCTGTCCAAGAATTTCTTGTCGGGTCCAATCCCACAAACCCTAATCGCCCTCAAATCCCTTCAGTTTCTTGATCTTAGCTACAACTCATTCTCCGGTCCAATCCCCGATTTTTTCGGGCATTTTCCGAACTTGACGTCTCTTGTTCTCACCAAGAACCGGTTTTCGGGGCAGATACCGGTTTCTTTATTCGGCCTCGTCCGAGTTTCCGAGCTCTCGATCGATCAGAATCAGCTCACCGGAAAAATTCCGGTCCAAATTGGGAACTTGAAGTCTGTTTCTGTGTTGAGATTGAGTTCGAACAAGCTCTCGGGTCAAATTCCGGAGTCCATTGCGCATTTGCCGAGCTTGTGGAATCTCAATCTTTCGAGGAATTCGCTTACGAATCCTTTCCCCGAGGCGGCTTTCGGAATTGGGCTCCGTTCGCTTTTGTCGATCGATCTTTCTTACAATAGTCTCGATTTGGGAGCAGTTCCTAGCTGGATCAAGAATCGAGAACTCTCCGACGTGCATTTAGCAGGGTGTAAGCTTCGTGGGGCCCTCCCGAATTTCACAAAGCCCGAATCTTTGACCACATTAGACCTTTCCGGAAACTTCTTCACAAGCGGGGTTTCAAGTTTCTTGGAACATATGTCGAATTTACAGAGCGCCAAAATTTCGAACAATCTACTCAACGATGATGTGTCATCAATCAGACTGCCCGATCAGATTTCAACACTCGACCTCCACTCAAATCGTCTATCCGGCTCTCTCACGAGTGTGTTGAGCGGTAGGAAGATCAAGTTCATGGAGGCCGTCGATATCTCGAACAACTTAATATCGGGCGAAATTCCCGGTTTCGGAATCGGATTGAATCTACGAGTGCTCAATTTCGGGAACAACAAGATCACGGGACAAATACCGAGCTCGATCTCGAACTTGGCGAAATTGGAGAGATTCGACGTTTCGAGAAACGGGCTAACGGGTACTATACCAACCGGTTTGGGATTGTTATCGAAGCTGCAATGGCTCGATTTGTCGATTAACAAGCTCGGCGGGAAAATACCGGCGAGCTTGCTTGGGATTGAAGCATTAAGACATGCAAGCTTTAGAGCAAATAGATTGTGTGGAGAGATTCCACAAGGGAGGCCATTTAATGTGTTCCCAAAGGTAGCTTATGCACACAATTTGTGCTTATGTGGCAAACCTTTGCCACCTTGCAAGGGTAGAAATATGGGTCAGTGATATGCTGACACGTGTATGCATTACATATGCTCATGCCACATGAGCATCTTCTTTTTCTTTTTTCCATTTTGCTTTGTCATTTTTTTTTTCTTTTTTTTTTGCAATTGTTAGTTTGTACTTTGTACAACACTCACTTCATTAGATACCATTCAATGAAGTGGACGGGACAAGCTCGACGAGTTGAAATAAATATTATTATTTTATTGTATAATATATAAAACGAGTTGAAATAAATATTATTATTTTATTGTATAATATATAAAGTAAAAAGCTCATGAGCCAGCTTGCAAGCCACTCAAACAACTATAATCGAGCATTTGCCAAGTCAACTCCTCGAGTTCACAAGCCGACTCAACTCGTTTATGAGCCCTTGTCATAACTACTAATCCAACATTCTCCATTGCATTTAACAAATGAAAACTTAATATAACAATGGATTTGCCAAAACCTTGCAATACTTAAAACATAGTCTTCAAAATGGAATAACAGATTCAAGAAAACCTAGTTAAGTGAGACAAAAGTCAAAATTTACAAGAAAACCTTCAAAACCAAACCCTAATAAGAACCATCAAAATTCCCTATTCATCATCCTCTTCAATCTCCTCCTTGATTTCTTTCTTAGCCATCGAATCATCATCTTCGATTTCATCCTTAGTTTCATCATCTGACAAATCATTGATCTCCTCTGCTTTGTCGTCTTCCTTGTCCGGTGACACATCAGCATCCTAATCATTAAAACAAATTAGAATCTACTTATTAACCAACATTGTTTAATAAAAACTACAATTGAAAAAAAAAACCGAACATACTTGTTCATCTTCAGCTTCGTTTAACTCCAAGGTCTTTTCGTACTCTGCTTTACGCTCAGCAGCTCTATCTCTATACACCTGCCTCTCCTCCTCGGTCAACGATTTCCATTTCTCACCACCCTCTTTCGCAACCTTCACAATCACAACACAATAAATAAATAAACAATTAAACAATTAAACCAATTCCCATGAAAATCAAGAAATAATCATTGTACAATCAAGAACCATTCAAAAGTAGGTTCAAACTTCAATTAATATTATTACCTCCGAACCACGTTTATTGTCGGGATTAGCCTCCTTAAACGACTTCCTAAAATCCTCCCTGTAAAGAAAAAAAATCATTCAAGATTTGTTAATTAACACAATTCATCGAATGAAACATTTCGAGCACATGGTTTTAAGGTGTACATGAATATGAAGAAAGCAGTTGCGGGGCGCTTCGGTGCGTTTGGATCCTTGGCCTTCTTCGTCTTTTTCGATGATGTAGATTGTGTCTGGTTAGCCTTCCTTCTGCTTGATCATAAATATTCAAAATCAAAAATCAAGATAAAAAGTTATTAAAAAGAAATGTAAGAATTGTTTTTGAAGGGTGTGGAAATTACTTTTGTGGTGCTGGCTTCTTCTTGGCTTCACTTGCCATTTCCACAACCTGTGACTCTGTAAATATATTTAAAATAAATTAAGTATATATATATACATACATATAGACACACACGCACACACACACACAGAGATATAAATACCGAGATTCATCTTAATTTTGGCATCGAGGCTACAGTTGTGGAAGCTAATCAAAGCCACTGGCACATCTTTGTTGCATTCTTCACTGAAAAATCAATTCATTTTTAAATCAGAATAATTGACTCAAAATAAAATAAATAGATGAATAACCCAAAACCGCAGATCAGTGCTCATATCAAATTCTATTCAAATGGAATATTTTTTATTTATTTATTTATACATTTTAATTATAAAAAAAAAAAAAACAGAAGGGGGAAAAATTGGGTACCATTTGGCAAACGCGCTGCCGTCTCTGGCGCGTTTGAGAGCCATCGTCGTCGCGGAAGAATCGGTGTCGACCTCCACCCTCTTCCTCAACCTCGACGCGTTTGATGAAGCTCCATCTCCGCGCGCCATTTTCAGATCTGGTTTTTTTTTCTTTTTCTAAATTAATAAAAGAGAGAATAGGGATTTGGAGAAGAAGAAGAATTGAGGGTTTTGACGAACTCGCATACGGATTTATACTACTGGAGAAAAGAGGGGAATTGGAAAATTTTATGGCACAAATTTTTAAGAGGCAAATTTTGAAAAATATTGAAGCTCTGTTTGAGTTTGGCGCCAAACAAATTGAAATTTCGTGGTTTTGAGAGGGCGGGATTGATGATTTGGGCGGTGTATTGGCCGTCGGATTATGGCGCTTCTTTTTTCTACTCAACGGTTGGGATTCCGTGAAAATTTGAAATATTTGCCTTCTTTTTATTGAAATTAAGTTATTTACTAATTAATTTGTACAAAAAGAATGAATAAGAACTGCAGATCTTAAAAGTTAAAATACCTCCTATAAAAAATAATAATTAAATATATATTATAATAAATAAAAAAAGTAATCAAGTCTAGTTTGTGTTCTGCTTGTTAGCATTTAAAATTAAATACAAATTAATCGAAACTTTGTTCGATTGCTAATAACTCGTTTTAGCTTAGTTTTTGGCGTAACAAACTAATTTTGAACACGTATTTTTGTTTTAATTACAAAAAAAAAAAGTAAAATAAAGCACTAGAGATCGGTAGCATTTGGCTCGATTAAAATCCGATCAAGCTCAACTTGATTGTTAATCAAATCAAGCTCGAAGAAAAATTTTAAACCGAGAAAAAAATTCAAATATAGAATCATCAATGAAAACTACAACTTGTGTTCCCTCGGCAGAAATATCTGCAATTATTCTACTCATAATACAGCTCAGCCACAACTTAGAAAAATCGACACTTGACAGATCCTATCTCCAATTGTTCAAACAAACCTATCATACAATTCCGAAAAGCCTGCCTTCAGAAACATACCAAGAATCACAAGGGGCAAAAACGCCTTTTGAACAGATGCCACGTCATCCCAGTTCAGTCGGGTCACTAAGCTTCCTACTTTGAAAACCTTCCACAGCCTGATTCATCGCATCACTGATTCTTTGACAAAACAACGACCACCGGATCTGAACGAAGGTGAAAATTATGAATTAAAAAAAAAAAATACAAAGGTGCCCGAAGTAGTAAAATCATTATGCAGAAAACAGCGACGAGAGGTTTTTTCACTTACGCGTACTCTAGATGAATATTCATGAATCGAGCGTGTTCCTTGCTTTGTGATAATACTAGGGAGCCTTCAATAACCTGATCTTGCTCCACCTCTATTGGATCGTAGAAGTAGATAATTGTCTGCAAAACCCATGAGAAAATTGCTTCGTGAGTAGCAAGAAAATTGGTTACGTGAAAAAAAAATTCAAGTGGCTGGAATGTATTGAAATCTAGTTAAGACCACCTGCTAGAGGTTGTAAGAATGCAGCTACACGGGATTTTCTCAACAAACACAAAATCCATTATTCACTAAAAACTATCCAAGAATTAGTATCGAACGAGCTATTTTTTTACTTCTGCAATGTATCATAGCAATGAAGATTTTCAATCGTAACAAATGTAGAAGGCAAATTGGTCACCAACAAGCACTTACACGAGAGGTGATGAATTAAAAAAAAACAAAGAGCCAACTCCTAGTCAAACCGAGTAAATGGTCTAGGGAAATTCAAGCTAAAGCTTCTCCACATTTCTGCTCGGCATTATTTCGAAGATTAATAAAAACGAGAGGGAGAGTATATACCTGTTGCCAGTGTGTTGGAGGATCCTCAGGTGCAGTAGATAGTACGAGGGCTTCATTAGGATTCGAACGCTTCCTTCTCTGACTCGTTTCTGTGACATGATTATTTGGAGCATCAACATATGCAGAAGCTGCATTGTTGTTTGAAGAGTGTATTGGAGGCACACCAAACTCCACGTCAAACCAAAACGCAAATCCGTGAAATGGTGCTGGAAATCAACAAACAAAATACGGGCTTAATTAAACATATATACATTCTACGATTCCAGTTAGTAAGAGGGATCTTGAGAAGGATGGATAATGGAACGTCGGTTGGTATTTTACCTCGCATCATCGATTCAAATTTAAACTTTGTTGAAACAGACTCTAGCTCGTGAATTGTAACAGTGGAACAGTCGACATGCTTTATCTGAAACCAACATTAAGATTAAGTTGCAGAAATCACAAGGACAAGTTATACAGAAAGAAACGGCTATGCATAGAATCGCTGTACTAATAAAGACAACAATTTAAGGAGGACTCACCACATGAGGCCACGTCAGCACATTTTCACCACTGATAGTCTCAACAGAAGGCTCTTCAAATGCACACTGCTTTGCTAAAGGCATCATACTCGACACTGCAGATAACAATATCTCAATTTCCATTTGTTGCTTTTTGATGGTAAAAAATTCAAAGGGATTATAACTGATTTTAATAGTCATTTAACGCATATTGCAAGGGAAGTTATTAAGTAATATTGTATTAATCAAAGTTTATACTTTTCATCGGCGACTGTTGTAATCCAACTATGCATTGAATAATGGATTACCTAAGGTGTGAAACAGATGAATTCCTCTAACTCTAATCTATAAAAAGTACAAGAAAAATACGTTCATGTTCGTACAACAATAGTTTCAAATTTTAGTACGGAATTCTCCGGACAGGAAAAGGCCTTTAGACATTTGTCGAGAAGCTATATTAACAAGATATTTTTCTATGAGAATTAAAAGAATGCTTTTCAGCTGCAAAGAACTGAATGTTGAGATAGCAGGAATATTGAAAAAAAATACTCACTATCAATTCCATAGACATTGCGCCAGAAATCAATGCTTTCACTATATCTGTCGGGACGAGAGACAGGTGCCATGTATAACTGCAAAACGTAAAAAACGATTTAGTTGTATCCACTGACTGGTCATCGCCAGATGCTAAGGCTAGTATCGTATCACGGGAAATTGTGCATTTTTTAAGTGATTTTGCCAATAGTGTGCCAAGATAGTGATTTACTTTGCAGCCATGGGAGACAAATTACAAACGCAACAAAATCAGCAAAGTAGAAAGTGATATTAAGCATTATATGGTGATGCGAGATACAAGTAACTAGGTTATACCGTGGCAAATGATGGAAGCATAAGACCCCCAGGTTTCAACCACCGGTCTCTGGCAGTTATAACACTCCCCAGCATGCTCTAAGAGAAAAACTCGAACAAAAACTCTAAATTCAGACAGAGAGACCAAAAGAAGAGGAAAAACTAGAATCTGAAACTTAGGTGTATATTAATCCATAATGGTCTGAACAAAATAAAGTTAGGCACATTGCAAAACATGCAATATTACTGCTGGAAATACAAAAATATCACCTCGTAAAGAAGCATGTAACCCATCCATTCAGATACTATGACATCAACCTTTTCATCGATTTCAACATCCTGCAACGACCAACATGGTTAACGCTCCTGCTATGAATACAAGTGAAAATCACGGAACTTATGCTTTGAAGTACTGAAACACGCGCTATCGTCATAGTAAGAATTATATGAGTCAATTGCTAGAATACTTCTTTAACCCCATTATCATTCACAAACTATTGCAGTCAAAATGTCAAATTACTATACGAGAAGTCCTTCAGAAAATGATTACATATAACCGAAAACTATGATTCATAGGCTATAACGATTCTCGTACCGACCTTCATTAGGAGAGTTGGTACTTCATTATTAGGGTCAAGGCCTAGCTTTGAATCCTGCCCCACCCCTACTTTCCTATTTGTAATTAGATTTTAACCAGAAAAAAAAAATCAAGCACAAATCAAACCTCAAGATTAAAGTCAGTTCTCTATCTCCAATTAAAGTTCTACTTCACATCTATTTGCCTAAAACCCGACCAATGTCCTTTGCTTGGAGACTAGATAGTGGCATTAGGTGGAGGGATTTATTTATAGATAAAAATTTGCATCTTCTTTCCTTGCTTTGGCTTGCAAAAATGTGCTCTGGTATAATTAACTTTGCTCAAATACCTGTTGATACATGTATAGCCAGTGAACTGAGTTTTAAGTTGTTACAGATTGATTCAGTTGTGAAGATTGTTTAATTCACAAATCAACGATGATGGAAAAAAGTCAGGAACAATACATATTCCCATTTCAATGACTAAATCTTAGAAGTAACAACAAAGAACAGAAGTAACGAATTAATCACGAAATTAGATATAGAGTTTTTTGTGAAGTGACCTACCTCAACTCGCCCATGCAATACAATGATTGTCTCGGATAAGTTGTTTGCCTTGATTACTTCATTTGCCTGGTACGACATTTACAAAAGGCCGACATCTATCAGAACTGTATTGAAACAGTATTTGCTAAGAACAATAATAGGACAGAGAATTAGCACAAGATACATGTTACATGCGATTTTCTGCTAAATTTTGCATTTAAAATGTGGAGTATCACAAATTCACCATTGGCTAGTTTTATGTGCTTTTTTTTTTCTTTCTATTACACGGAATTGAAATTTGTCCTCGCTAACAGAACTATATTATTGCACGAGTTAGGATTGAAGAAGCTAAATTTTGCAATAGTTTTTTTGGAATATATCACACAATGCTTTCATCAATGAAATACTCCCCCACAGACCACGAAGATTTCAGAACCGTAAATTATCACAAAGCATTTTCAATTGACGTGAAAGACAAAATCATGCTTACTCAATGAAATAGTTCCATGTACAAAAAAAATCAAGTTAATAAAGCACCTGAACTGCAATATCACTGGCATCCACTGCATATACCTAGTAGCAAAAGTGAAGAAGATCAATATAAGCTACAAAAACTAAAAACTCTAAGCAGAAATCAGGAATAATCGAAGTTTCTTGACGAAGCTATTAAGATAAGACCATCAAAAACTACTAACACTTAAGTCGCATAAGATAATTATCCTTGAGAATTAAACATCGAAGTACAACGCTTTAAATTTGATTTCACACTTTCCTATGATCTAATATTCAATAAGGCCAACCAGTCATGTTCAGATTAATCTGTTCAATATACCTAAAATGATTGAGGTGTTAAATCGGTGATTTTAAGCAGAAATGCACAGTTAGAGAAGAACAGAGAAAAATATATGAATAAAAGTGCAAGTTGTGTCTACTAAATAGTGTGCAATCCAAGAGAACATAACCTCCATTGATGTGGATCATAATCAAATTTGTGACTTATTACTCTAGGACTATAGCAGACCTACCATATCAAATGGATTGTAAAATTACCTCCTAAAAGTGAAGTGAGACGTCATTAATTGTAATGCAAACTGGAAAGCCTAACTATTACATTGAATTTCTACGATTATGGTACACCCTCAGCATCTTCTGTATCCATAGTATGTTATACAGCAAAATTCTACAGCAACTTGAAAGTGATAACTATTTCTAGTGAAAAAATTATACATACTAGGAAAAATATCAATACACTATCCCGTCTAACTTAAAAGGGTTAATCAACAGTCAGAGCATCTTACCCTCTTGGCCCCAGCTTGAGCACAAAATATAGAGAGAATGCCAGTGCCACAGCCAACATCGACCACAACCTGAAACACAAAACCGATACTCAAAATCCGGAGATGCACTATTAGCGAATCAATTTACTCAACAATTTTGGTTAGTAACAGCATTTTCAATGAACACCGTGGCAAGTAGGTCAAGAAGACCTTACATTCTTCATTTTTATCGTTTCTCTATCAGTGAATGTCACATAATATTTTCAATGTGCATAAATTCATGGCTACGAAGAGTCGTAATTGGGTTAAGACCTATGATAAACAATGTAACTAAAGATGAAATATAATATTGATAGTCTATCATATACTCACTTTTCCGGCAATTCGATCTTGATGGTGGAGGATTGCATTTCTATAAGTTTCCGTACGCACTCGATCCTGCATAGATCAAAATTCATGTTCGTATACAGTTCCAAAGCTTAAAGATCTGAATAGAATAAAGCAATATATGATGCACCCGAAGCATAAATGAAAAGATAAAGACTGTTACGAGTAGGCTGAAAAAAATTCAAACCCCTAAAATTACATCATGAAACATCCTAACAACAGAAGGAAAGACACAAGAATCAATGTTTTGCAGAGAGTATTGCTACTGACATATAACTTCTGAGCTGTCTTTCATCAATGTCATCTGACGTACCAGGTTTTACATTTTGCCACATCAAATCACCGTCGGGGGTAATTCCACCAAGGTTCCCTAACTTGATCACACATCTTAGAATCGTAGCACTATGCGTAAAAACTTTGCATGATATTTCACTTTGCCACCTAATCCTAAATACCCTTTTTATAAAATTAGTAAATTACATATACATACACATAATTTTTTTTCTTTGTTAAACCTATTATGATAAAAAATATATATATATATATTACTGTAATGACCTTTTTCGTTATTTCTCGGTTGAATTTTAAATTCTATTTTTCAAATTCACTTTTATCAACATTAAATCAAATTATACATCAAAACAAATTACATAGATATAGATCACCGACATCTATAAAATGCCAATAAAATCAAAGCAACAAACATAAAACAACTATTCGAGAAATTCATTAGTACTCGCGGCATACAGTTGAATGCCACTCAATATTCAAAAAGTAGTCAACAGAAACTAAAATTTCTGAATTTATGAAGATTCAAGTATCCATTAACACAGTTTGTGCAGAAAACTACTCTACCTTGATCATTTCTTCGTGAATGCCAAGGTGCGCGTAAGAGTGAAAATACGCGACGTCGAAGTCCGTACAAGGTGGGGGAGGGCTCTCCGCCTCCTGCTGCGGTTGTTGATAAACCCTAGAATTGGTGCCGCCGGCATGGTCACGCGACTTGCCGCGGCCGCCCCGACGAAATCGACGCCCAGCCACGCCACTGCCGCCACTACCACCACCTTCGTGGTGGACGCCATTGCTGTATGTGCCACCTCCTCCACCGCCGCCGCCATTACTGCCGCTCGTCGGTTGGAACATTTGCTTCCCTCACTCAACACACTCCAGAGGGAAGAAGGGGTAGATTCGTAATTACGAATAAGTACACTCTTTAGATTTGGGCACGAAATTGAACTCGGTACTAATGCAAAATTTAAGCAAAGACTTAAAAAAAAATATTAAAAATAGGGTTAAGTGCATTTCGGCCCCCGTAATTTTGTCCTTTTTGCACTTTGCTCCCTAAACGAAAAATAATTGTATAATCCTACCTGGACTTTCTTTGGACTAATGTACCAATGTGTTACTTATTGCATATGGAAATTACAAAATGTGCACGTCACTCGCAAAGTAATTGGATTTGTTGTAGGCGATGTAAATGCAATTATTATTCAACACCATTTTGATCAAAGTATTTTCAACTAAAAGTTTGAATTCATTAGGCTAGATGGTTGAAATGTCCTTTTTTTTCCCTATATAAGATACCTTTATCATTTCGATTTTTTTATCACTTATTTTTGTTTAATTCTTTACTTATATCAAATGGAATGTTTGTGTTGTTTAATTTTGTACTACTTTCTATATAATATTAACGTTTGAACCTTTTAATTGAGTACCTCCTCCGGAGAAAAAAATAAATGTGAAAAAATATCCTCGTATATCGCAATTGTGAGATACTAGCATGGGTAAAACTAATATATATATTAAAAATTGAAGGGTACTTTGGTCTTTTGAACATGTCTGAACATTTTCTGAACTTTTTTAGATTCCTTCGATCCTATACCCACGTGTCTTTTTTTGTATTTTTTTCTAAAATCCCTACAGGTTTACTCTAGTGGGGGGATATATTACAAAATACAAAAGAGAAACAGAAGAACCACCCAGTGTTTATCACCAGGTGTAGGGTCGAATAAGTCACTTTTTTGTACAAGTAGTAGCAAGTCATGGACTTATTTGTAAAAGTCCATTACTTTAGGATAAATCTATCTTAAATTTCCCATAAAAATTATGTTCGATTTTTAATGTTTCCATGGAGTTGATAAATATATTTTTAAAAACATGTTAAAAGGGATGGATTTACTGACGAAAGATATTAGAATATCCATAAAAATTGAGCATTCAAATTCTATGAAATAGATTAGAATATACATGAAATTATACCATTCAAGTTCAAATTTCTACTTTAAATAAACATCAATTCATAAAGATAGGTAAAAATAAAACAACAACCAATAACCATAAAAACAAAAAAGAAAAAAAAAAAAAAAAAAAAAAAAAAAAAACTAAAACTTTATAGACCAACCACATCCGCTACTATCCCATACCAAACCTATTCAGCCACCGCACGGCGGCGAAACTGAGGATACCGAGACTCTTTAACGGTGATACGGTAGCCGTCAATCTCCTTTCCGTTCATCCTCTCGACAGCTTCCCTCGCCGATCGCTCATCCTCATACACCACCATACCAATTTTCTTTCCACAACCAAAATCCCTTGCAATCTGAAAAACAGAAAAATTAATGCAGATCTAATCAATTTAAATCCCGATATCACATATTTTTTTACGAACGAAAAGCAAATAACCTAGACATCTTCGACAAACATACCTTCGCATGGATGACATCTCCGAACTGAGAAAATGCGCGCGTAAAGGACTCATCAGTGGCGCCCGACCCCAAACCATCGACGACACATCCAAGTGGTCCCATATCATCAGAAGCAGAATCAGAAGCAGAAGCAGAAGCTTTCTGATAATCGAGACCGGGATTACTGCCGACGGGAAACTCGGGAAACCGATACTCTTTAACGATGATTTGGTGACCGTCAATCTTCTTTCCGTTCATCCTCTTGACAGCTTCCCTCGCCGATGGCTCGTCCTCAAACACCACGGTACCAAGATACTGATTTGTGGGAGGATTGATCGCAATCTGAAAAAATCCAACATAAAAAACAAAAACAAAAAATTAATGCACATATAATCAAATTTAAATCCAGATTTTTCACATATTTTTAACCTAGCAAATAAACTATGATTATCTTAGACAAACAAACGGACAATCGCTCTGACGAGTTTTCCGAACGGAGAAAAGGCGCGACGAAGGGACTCATTAGTCGTGCCCGACGGCAAACCAAAGACGACACATCCAAGTCGTCCTAAACTAGCATAAACTTCAGGACTGAGGGGATCGGTAGGGGGAAACTCGGGAAACCGATACTCTTTAACGGTGATTTGGTGACCGTCAATCTTCTTTCCGTTCATCCTCTTGACAGCTTCCCTCGCCGATGGCTCGTCCTCAAACACCACGTAACCAAAATACTGATTGGTGGGAGGATTGATCGCAATCTGAAAAAATCAACAACACAAAAAACAAAAACAAAAAATTAATGTCCAGATTTCACATATTTTTACCTAGCAACAAATAAAGTGATATCTTAAACATACAATCGCTCTGACGAGTTTTCCGAACGGAGAAAAGGCACAACGAAGGGACTCATTAGTCGAGACCGACGGCAAACCAAAGACGACACATCCAGTCCTTCCATAACCAACACCACCGTAATAAAACGCCATTGACTGATTTTAACAGCTTTTGTTGGAACTGGAAAAAAAATAAAAATTCTTTGTTAGATAAACAAAATACAAATTAACAGCAACATATACCTTTCATACAAAAATCCGAAAATAAATCGGAAATTTCAGAAAATCGGATTTTTTTTTTCTTTTTTCTTTTTTCGGAAGGAAACCCTAAAAAGTCGAAATACTACAACACCGTAATCACAAAAAACAGCGAAGCAAGATACTGAGGAAAACATCTCCATTGTAATTGATTGACAGAATCGAAAAATACCGTACGAGATATGCCAACGAAGAAGAAGACTAATAAATACGGCGTCGCAGAGCGGCTGGCCGGAATCGATTAAGCTCTTCAATTTTTGGAGAAAATTATACTGGCCTTACTAGTATGTATATATATAAAAGGGCTTAATACACTTTGCACCCCTGAAGTATAGTTCATGTAACACTTACCCCTTAAAGTATCATTTGTAACACTTACCCCCTCAACATCAATTATTTTATATTTTAAATTTAAAAAAATAATAAACATAACAATCTAATAATTAACGGTTCATAGAAAATTGAAAAATAACTAAAATTAATTATTGAAAAAAAAATTAAAAAATAATATGTATTGGGTAATAATGAATGAAAGTATATTTAAAAAAATTAATAAACTAAAATAAATTTAAATACTTAAGATTTCTATTAGTTATGTACTGATTTCTTAAAAAATTGTCGATAGAGTATTTTTGATTAATTGGTCCAATAACAATTAGATGTTATTTATTGAAAATTTATCCAACGCAATATAATATTTTTAAATTTTAAAATATTGTATTTTTCAATAGATATTTTTAGTTGTATAATTTAATTATTCTTTTTAGTTATTCCTTTCAATAAAAATAAATTTTTAAGGTATTAAAATTTAAAATACAAATTAAATTGTGCTTGAGGGGGTAAATGTTACAAATGATACTCTAAGGGGGTAAGTGTTACAGAGGGTATACCGGAATGTGAAAACACATTGAATAGTAATTGAACTTCATGTAATAACAGTTCTATAATTAGTTGATAAAACAAGAAGAGCTAATCACTTCTGAATATCAGCGTTAACTAAGCGGAGTGCTTTCATCGGCGGAGTTCGCACAAATCTCTGTTTAGCACCATCAACTCATGTTCGCCACTGCCTATCAACGGATTAATTAACTTAGTCACTCAAACTCCATCACCGAGCAAATAATTACATATATAAACAAGATTACAGTTTCTAGATTAACCCTTCTAATACAGAAATTTGCTCAATTAATTGAGTGAATAGTAACTTAAGACAACAAATTAACAGGTGATTAAACAATTTTTCAAGATGACACAAATAGTAGAGATTGAAACTTGGACATTATAACAATAAATCATCAAGTGTGTGCAAAAGGATAGCAAAAACTGTTTCTTATATTTCCGAAATTTTGGAATTCAGATTACAAAAATTCGTTCCAAAATCGGATATATCCGGATCAAAATAGACCGGAATCGGAAAATGGGTTCCGATATCCAACTAATGGGTCATGGACAAATACTAGTTAAACTCGCGAGATACCGCGATATATATCGCGAGACGGTACAGTCCCAATCAAAAAGATACAACTCTTATTATGTGTCGGATATGCATAAATATCGCGAGATATCGTATCGTATCGTCATATCACGATACGATACAATATTTACGATATTAGTAAAAAAAATTATCAAGAAAAAAAAAAGAAAAAAAAGGAAACGAAATATTCACATTATCAGGGCCTGAAAACGAATTTCAATATTATTTAATTTTTTTCTTACATATATTATATCCAAGAAATTTACACGCCAAGTTTGATATTGATAAGAGAAAATAGGAAAAATCCAATATTGGAGTTGATGAAGTTGAAGAGATTGATAAACATGAGGATGAAGACACTCGTTTGAAATTGATGGATGAAAAAAAATTAAGTGACATTGATCTTCAAGATTATGAGTGATAAGATTAGCTTTTTACAAAGGCATTTTTGACCAAAGGCATTTCTTCAAAAAATAAAATATTATGAAGGGTATTTTTGACCAAATGCATGGTGATGGGTGTATTTGAAATACTGTTTTTTTTTTGTGGATCAATGTGCATTTAAGTCCCTTGGGATTGACCTTTTTGTCATTCACCCATATAAATAATTGTTTAATTTTACCATAGTAGTTAAACTCGCGAAAAGATACAACACTCGTAGTATGTATGGGTTATATGCATAAATACTGTTAAATATTGCGAGATATCATATCGTATCGTTATATCACGATATGATACAATATCTATGATATTAGTCAAAGTTAAAAAAGAAAAAAGACGGAAACAAAATATTCACATTATCAAGGCCTGAAAACGAATTTCAATATTATTTAATGTTTTTTTGTATTTATTAGATATAAGAAATTTACATGCCAAGTTTGATATTGATAAGAGAAAATAGGAAAAACTCAAAGTTGGACTTGATGAAGCTGAAGAAATTGATGAACATGAGGATGAAGACACTCGTTTGAAATTGCTGGATGAAAAAAATTGAAGTGACATTGATCTTGAAAATTATGAGTGCAGGGATCAAAATTTGAAACTTGGTTGATGTTATTTTTATGAGCAGTTGTGATTTTTATCCTATTTGATAGATTAATTTTTTTTTTTAGAAATTAGGAATGGGTGGTTTGACTTTAAAATATAAAATTATACATTTTTATTACGTAAATACATATATAGTTTAATATTTTTAATAGTTGGTTAAATACTTTACGGTACGATAACGATACGATACCGTGTACATACACGGATAAAAACGATACGCCAATATTTTCTGATTCGATGACCATGAATTTTACTAACTAAAATCACATGCTGATTATTCGAACAATTGCTAATTTTGGATTTCTCATAAATAATACAATTAAAAAAATGGCTAAACTTCTATTTGCAGTATTTCTTTTGCTATACTATATTCCTGGAATTTTTGAATTTCAAAACGTTAACTAACAAATTAGTACGTTTTCTATTTTCTTCTAAAAAAAGAGAGTAATTTTTACTTGGCATTTAATTATGCAGTCTTATTTATTGGACCCGACCCAATAGTCTAAACCCTAACCCTTTAACCCTTCACTTCTCACAAACGCCGTTGTTGTCTTATTTTCACCGTCGTTTGTCTTCTTTTCACCGCGGCGTTTCACACTCACTCCGCCGCACGTCATGGCGAATCAAATTGCTCCAGCTGCACCAGGCGAGGGTTACGTGACCGAAATGGGTCTTGCAGTCAACGTTCCCGCCGTTGAAGCCGTCTTTGGAGCTCCAACTGAGGAACAAATGTTGAATGAGCACAGGAGGCTGGTAAGCATTGATCGGGCACAAACTTTGAGTGGTTATACGCTTTTAGGCCCGGCTGAGCATCTTGCCGCCATTAGGAGATATCACACCATCATGGCAACGGTCAATTTTGGGCAGAACAACAACCACAACCCGAACCCGAACCCGAACCAGCTGGCAAAGATAAACGCCGAAAATGCAAGGATCGTGAATAAAATGAACAATCTATCCCTACCCCACGTTCCTTGTGTCCCGGTAGTGAAGGAATTTCCGGGACATCCGTTTCCTCAGCCTCCGGCAGTTCAGAACGTTGTCTTCGACAACAACAACTACAATGTGAACACTAGCCCGCCGGATCATTTGATTCCTGCTGACTTACATGCCCTCCATGCGGTATCTACTGGCACCGTGGTTTTAGCACGGGATCGTCTTAGAGCCATCTATTGGTTCTATAACGATCCCAGGCTAGCCATAGGCGAGAATGCGACTCGCGTGCAGTGTGGATTGGCTGTTGCTGCGTTGCTCGGCTTTCTTATGCATTAGTATATAGTGTAATAGTATTTAGAACGAACAAATTTAGTCGTGTGTAATCTTTTATTTTAAGATTCTGCTAATTTGTCTACTCTTTAGTTGTAATAGCCTTGGTATGTAATCTCTTTAATTGCTTAATCATGAGGATTTCATTTTAATCTATTCTTAAATCTTTGATTTCATTTTTCCGGGTCAACCTTTTTGTATTTTCAGGTGCTGAAAGAGAGCCTTAAAATGTGAATGGATTATGGTTCCAGATCTTCAAAGCATTTATGGTGATATTTTTTTTTTTGGTTCCAAGTGTTTTTGCTTATGCATTGTCATTTTTATTGTTTCTGTTTGATTATGTGAATGTATCCCCGGAATACCCCTGAATGGTTGACCACCTTCGGACAAAGTTGTCCTATCATGACTTGGATGATCTGCTATTGAGTTTTTTATTCTTTATATTTTGGGATTGCATTTTTCTTTTTCCAAATTTATTGATGGGATATTTTTTTTTTCAACAGGGTTTGAATATGATTATCACTCAGGACGATGCATCTGATATCGAGGAACACAATTCTTTGGCTTTAACCATATATAGTTCCATCTGATCAGCACTTGTGTCAATTATTTTGTGATAGCTTACTTTCACATTATTTTAGAGATTTAATTATAATTATGATTTTATTTATATGTTGCAAAATGCAGGAGGCACTACGCCATTCGACTTTGATGCTTCCCAAGTGGATGGGAACTTGTATTAACATATATTTTCTAACTTACGGATTGCCGAGGAAATCACCAGAGCCACTCACCTTTTCTCCATTTGCTCGGTCAATGGCTATGACATCAACTTACAAACTGACGATTTTCCAGCATCTTCTAAACCAATGCAAAATTTGATGATGACTGGCTTTGTGGCTTGCATGAGAACTTGAAAGTAGGCTCTATATGTTGAAGTCATTACGTAATTAATATATTAAACAACGGTCGGGTTTATGTGTTGTATTGTTACAGGTTTTCTCATGGGAGCCCATCAGAAGTCACGATACTGTTGATGTGGGTTGGTCCAGGCTATCAGATATGAATGTTCATGCAGGGAAGCTTCTGGGATTTAAATTACATTTATATGCTTGTCCGTACGATCCATATTATATATAAATAACTCAAGTGTTTTTTATTCATATCTATCATAACAGAGAATCTTTTCTTCAACTGATGAAAACGAGTCAGTCTTCGCTAGTGACGAGGATACTCTATTGTTGACTTGATGGAACTGCATGATCAATTTGTTGGCTCAATGTATTCTCGTTTAAGCAAACTACAGGTATTTCATTGCATATTATATTATTCTTGGAGTCACAATCCACATCATTCTGCTGCATTTCCCTACACTTTCCGAGTGGTACGTAGTTGTTCTGATTCCTTTATATATATGCTATAACGAACGTCTTTCACAGTCTGGTAGTGGTAAATCCATACTCGGGTCGGGTACTTGTGGTAAATGCTTTGGCTACTGATGATCGTAGGCCGTGGTACACCACTTAGTGCTGTCAATTGTGTTGAATGAGGTACTCCAATTGTTGTATAAAAGATCATTATGGTTGTTTAGATGATATCAATGGGAAAAGTGTCAACCAAGTGTTTTGTGATTGTCTAGGAAGAATAAAATAGAGAAAATATATATATTTAGTGACAGCTTTGTGGGGTCAATTAAGCAAAATTACAGATTTGAGTTTATTTTACAAGTTCTCTTTTGGTCTCCCTTGATTTTTCATAAAAATCTTGGTTAAGGTTCTGTTTAAAGTTTAAACTATTTTATTTCGAAACTACTCAAATTCACGTTTTTCTTATATTCTGCATTTGTTTCACCTTTCAAAGACTCTCGATTGTAACGTCTGTCAGGACTTATAGAAAGTGATATGGATAGGTAAGTAGACTATCTACTTGATATTTTAGCACTTCTGATTCTGCATCCTCTTCTTCTTCAGAGGCTCCTCAACCAATCTGTCTCTTAGCAAAAGCAGGATCCTTTTTTGATATACAAGATGAATTATTGGTGCCATTTCTTGGTGATTTTATCTTTCACGCAGTTGTCGTTTTGTCCAGTGGTTCAAAAATATGTGACCACTTCAGTTGATCTTGTTAAACCTCTAATGAACTATTTATTTATTTATTTATATGCAGGCATCAAGATATCGCACTGCTAATTTGGCTCTGTAATATATTCTTCATTATCTGCGCGCGCCATCATCTGTCGGTGCAGACATTGAGGCGCGGAGCAAAGGTTCGGTTGTTTCTTCCCTTGAATATACTTGTCAGCAAAATTATATTTGCAATTATTATCACAACTACTATCGTTATTTCCATTATCACTGTTTCGTCAAATCATCTAATTATGGAAGATCTGCTTTCACGTCCTGTTGTCTCAAGGCTTGAGCATTGCAATCTTTGCTATACGGAACTTGAGAAAGTAAAACGCTCCCTTCCTGCACTAATTTTTCTTATGAAAAATGCTCTACTTAAGCTCGTTGTGCAAATCGTTAATTCAGTTAACTTTGTTACATATTGCAGAAAAGGAGGCTCGATTGCCAAGTCTGCACATGAGCTGAATCTAGCACTTCAAGAAGTTTCATGACTATGTCATATTGCTTTTAAGGGACTGCAGATTTTGGAACTACGCGCTTCAAAGTGGTGGCAGAAACTGTAAATTCATGCTCAATGGAAATACTGACCGATTATTTATCTTTAACTTAAAAAAGAAAAAACCTTAGCCGACGGACTACCTGCTTACTTACTGCCATTCAACAGTTGCTTGGTCGGTGGATGCGGATCCGTCTCACTGGTTTTTTACTTAACTCGAAATATCGACTTGTTATTGTTGAGTGAAGTTGATGATTGTGTTTTGAGACAAGAGTCTCATAGTTTAGTGAGGTTTTGTACAATCTTGATTTCTTTCTAAATTTTTATGTAGTTCGTTTTATCTTTTCCGAACATTGAAAGTGTCGGCATGTTACGGAAGAGCTACTACTCTCCAGTAGTTGAGACTTTGATAGCATAGGGTGAGTTCTGCTATTGTGTAATGCAAGAGAGTTTGGAGAATGTCATAAGTTGGCTATATTGCCAACATTTGTTGTACCACCACTTGCCACTAAGAATATTTTTTTAAATACTTGAGCTGAAATTTTCCCATCTCCATTTAGGGGTGGTTTTTTTTTTTTACCAATTCTCTACCCAAATATTTCTACCGAATTATTGCCGTATCCTACCGTACCCTACCGAAACATTTTCGTAGGGCAACGGCACTCAATATTATTAAAATGGTATTACCCTACCGTACCGAAATATTATTAATAAATAAAATTTTATTTTAATAATTCATTTATTATGTATAAAAAGTGAACATAGTATTCTAAGTAACTACAATTAGTTAAAATTAATTATACTCTTTAGGTATGTCAAGACTCAAGAATATTTTAAATTGCTTTCATTAACGATGATATAATTATACATATTTGAGTTCTATACTATTAAATAAATAAAAACAAAATCATATTTAAACAATAAAAAAAATTTTAAAAAAAAATCATGATACATATTTGAGTTCTATACAATTAAATAATCATATTTGATCAGCTATTACATTTAAAAATAATGGCACCATAATGGAGAGACTCTCCACTTCCTGCACGAATAGCTTGAATCACATGGAGACAGTCTCCTTCCAAGCTAACGTCAATCCATTTGTTTACTTTCGAAAGAAAAAGTCAAAATAAAATTTTTGTGGTCAAAATTGATGAAATTGAAATTAAAATGAGGTTACAATTAGTAATTGAATTTAAAGGGGTGGGGATAATTTGTCATATACATTAAGTATGCATTTAGTAATAAAACATGTTAAAGGAATAAGTTTATTGACGAAAGAGATAGCCCTAAACTTCGAATAATAAAAATTGATGGTCTTGGAATTATGTACAAAAACCCATAAGCATAAACAAACCTTTTTTTTAGGTAGATATATCATTTGTGTAATTTAAATGCTCAATTAACAGCTATGCATTATATTAAAGGTTCGTTTGATATACACCCCTAGTATGAAAAATAAATGGACATGTCCACCCTTAAATTCTTTATTTGAGATACTTTTTTGAGAGGTAAAAGTACCATTATGCCTTTATGTGCAATTTTCGCCCAACTTAATTCAGTATTTTTGCCAAATGCATTCAGCATTATGACCAACTGTATTTAGTATTTTTAGACCTGCATTTATCTTTTTTATAGATTTAGTTAATAAAAAATATAAATGTTTATTTTAGTATTATTTTCTACGTTTACACTCTTTTGTATTTTTTTTTATTGTTTGAACTTTTAAATTATTAAATTTGATTTTTTTAATTTCGGTGGCGGAGGACTCGACAACGGCTTCGAATCCGTGTACACCCTTAATCGTCTCTTGGTGTCGCAAAATAAGTACTTTAAGTTGTTAGGAGATCTCACAAATTAATATCAGAATTTGTATTTTTTTATTATGGTGCAAAAATTCTTTTGATCTCCTCATATATATTTTCAAAACTAGGGTATAACTCGTTTACCGTATATTAAATTCATTTTAGTACATGTACAGAGCAACTCTAATGGGGAGTTATCAAAATGGAACATTAAACATTCATTTGATATTTGATATACCACAAGTATCAAATGGGTTATCAAAGTTTAAATATATGAATAATTATATTAGAGCAACTCCAATGGAGGAATCAAATGGGGTATTAAATGATAAAACTTCCATTTTGATTCCCAAAACTAAAAATTTCTTCTCCAACGGAAGCACCAAAGGGATAGTTTTTTTGATACTTTATCTACTAGAGGTGCAAAAATGCACCAAAAAAAACCAAGTATCAAATATTCCTAGAAATTGGGAACCGCAATTTCAACGTGAAAAGAATAAATTTTCGAACAAATTCCTATAGAATAGGACCAAATATATCTATTAATATATATTTAATACATTTTAAAAAATAAAATAATCTATTTGATTCCTACGGGTTGGAGCATATAAGTTTTTTCGAAGTACCAAAGTATTATTTCAAGCATCAATTAAGGATTTAAATGTCAAATAGTGAGGGGTTAAAAAAGTAGTTATATTTTTAATACCTCATTTTCCAGAGAGATATTTTTATTTTTTAGTTTGATACTTCATAAAGTTCCTCCATTGGAGTTGCTCAAGCCACTAAACGTGTTCTAATCATGATTAACAGATATATCTAAAATGAAAGAAACAAATGCCGAATAATCTTGATTTTTTTTTTTTTTTTCTCGAAATCGGAAAACCAATTTTCTGATATCTAATAATTTTGTATATCAAATATTCTTTTATCTTTAAAGAAAAACCGATCTTTTTAACATGGCATGGAGAAATAGAATCAAATATCCATGAAATTTGAGCATTCAAGTTATGAAATAGATTAAAATATACATGAAATTATAAAATTCAAGTTCAATTTCTACTTTAAACAAACATCTATTCATAAAGATAGGTAAAAATATAACCAACTACACCCTATTCAACCACCGCACGGCGGCGAAACTGAGAATACCGAGACTCTTTAACGGTGATACGGTAGCCGTCAATCTCCTTTCCGTTCATCTTCTCGATAGCTTCCCTCGCCGATCGCTCATCCTCGTACACCACCATACCAAGTTTCTTTCCACAACCAGCATCCCTCCCAATCTGAAAAACAGAAATTAATGCAGATCTAATCAATTTAAAACCCGACATCACATATTTTTTTACGAACGAAAAGCAAATAACCTAGACATCTTCGACAAACATACCCTCGCATGGATGACATCTCCGAACTGAGAAAATGCGCGCGTAAAGGACTCAGCAGTGGCGCCCGACCCCAAACCATCGACGACACATCCAAGTGGTCCAAAATCACCAGAATCAGAAGCAGAAGTAGAAGCCCTCTGATAACCGGGACGGGGGCTACTGCCGGGGGGAAACTCGGGAAACCGAGACTCTTTAACGGTGATTTGGTGACCGTCAATTTCCGCTAAGTTCATCCTCTCGACAGCTTCCCTCGCCGATGTCTCGTCCTCAAACACCACCGTACCAATATTCTGATTGGTGGGACGAGTGAGCCCAATCTGAAAAAAATCAACAACACAAAAAACAAAAAAACAAAAAATTAATTCACATCTAATCGAATTTAAATCCAGATTTCACATGTTTTAACCTAACAAATAAACTCTGATTATCTTAGACAAACAGACGGACCATCGCTCTGACGACTTTTCCGAACGGAGAAAAGGCGCGACGAAGGGACTCATCAGTCGTGCCCGACGGCAAACCGTAGACGACACATCCAAGTCGTCCTAAACGAGCATAATCTTCAGGACTGAGAGGATCGGTGCGGGGGAACTCGGGAAATCGAGACTCTTTAACGGTGATTTGGTGACCGTCAATCTCCTCTAAGTTCATCCTCTTGACAGCTTCCCTCGCCGATGCGTCGTCCTCAAACACCACCGTACCAATATCCTGATTGGTGCGACGATTGAATGCAATCTGAAAAAATCAACACCACAAAAAAACAAAAATACAAAAAGTTCACATATTTTTACCTAACAAATAAACTGATATCTTAAAGACTTAAACATAAATACATACAGACCATCGCTCTTACGACTACTCCGAACGGAGAAAAGGCGCGACGAAGGGACTCATCGGTCGAGCCCGACGGCAAACCATAGACGACACATCCAGTCCTTCCATGAACAAAACCACCGTAATAATAAAACATCATTGACTGATTTGAAGAGCTTTTGTTGGAACTGAAATTTTTTTTCTTTGTTAGATAAACAAAATAGAAATTTAACAGCAAAATTATACATTTCATACAAATATCCTTCTTCATTCAGAAATCAAATTTCGATTCTGATTTTTTCGGAAATTTCAGAAAATCGAATTTTTTTTTTTTTTTTTTTTCGGAAGGAAACCCTAAATTAGTGAGGAAAACATCTCCAAATACATTGAAATCTAAATTGCTTAGGTCTTCTAAATTGATTGAAATCAACGAAAAATACCGTACGAGATATGCCAACGAAGAAGAAGAAGAATCGATTGAGCAGAAAGCCTGTCGAGAAGAAGGAAGATACGGCGTCGTATTCGATTCGATTGAGCAGTCTGCCCGCCATCTTCAATTGTTGGTTTCGGTTAATAAAGGCCAATACTTTACAAATAAATTTCGGCCCAGCCCAATGAGAGAAAATTATACTGGCCTTATGTATATATATAAAATAATTTTTAAAATCGAAAATTACAGAATCATTCAAAATTCGAAAATCAGAATTTCGGAATTCAGATTACAAAAATTCGTTCCAAAATCGGATATATCCAGATCGGAATCGACGGAAATCGGATATTTGATTTTGAATTTCACACTAAAAATCATTTGAAAGCATCGGATGAGCAATTCAGGGAAGAAAAAAGCCGCCGACGACGATGAGGTGGAGCAGCTACTCCGGGCGGCGCAGGACGATATGCTCCTGAAACTCAATCTCAACTCGCACATGGCACGAGGCTCCTCTGCCGCCGCCATCGATCCAGATCTGGACCGCCGCTTCCTCGCCCTAAGAAAACCCCAAAAGCCACCAAAAGTCGACGATCCTACGAAATCGGTACCGGCGAAAGTAGACTCCGGTGGCAGTAGAGTCGACGGCGCGTCGGACGACGATCTGTTCGCCAGATTTACGGCCCTGAAGAACACAATTCCGTCCCACAACAAGAGCGAAAGCAAAAGCAATTTGAGTGGCGATGCTCCGGCCAATCAGCCGGCGGCGGAGGAAGAAGAAGAGAGCGAGGATGAAGTTGAGAAGGTGATGAAGTGGGCAATTGATGCTGCCAGACTCGATCCTTCTCAGCCGTCCGATGATGATGATGATAACGATTATTATTGTAGTGATGACGATGATGATTGTAGTGATGACGACGATGATGACGTCAAGGGAAAGAAGAAGAAAAGGAAGTGATCAAATATAGTTAATCACAAAAAATGTTCGATATTGTTGTTTGCCAATTTTCTTTTTTTTTTTTAAATTTATTTAATTTCTCCAGCTCATGGAGTATTGTTTTTATGAGCTCGAACGAGCGGAGCTTGTCGAGCTCGAGCCATTTTATGTATTTTTTATTAATATTATTAAAAATTTGTTATTATAAATTATAATAAAAAAAATTGAAACAAAAAATGTCCCGTAACTTGTTTTTTTAATTATTTATATAAATTTATTTTATATTAATTATATTAAAAAAAGTTATAAAAAAAAACTCGCGAACTGGCTCGCGTGCTCATGAATAACTAAAAATGAGCTCGAGCTCGCGAGTTCGAGTTCGAACTTTCGTCGAACCGGCTCGGTTCATTTACACCCCTAGTGCTAGGAACTAGGTGATATATGTCATGCAATAAAAGAAACAGTGCATCCTAAGAAAAATGATATTGACTAAACCAAGTTTATTACAGAAGATTTGAGTTATGTATTGTACAATGATTTAAATCCCTCAGTTAAACCAATAACTTTAGCCGACACCTTCGACTGCAGTTTTGATACGGCTTGCCGAATGTCCTGCAAACACCAAGAGAATGTCAGCAGTGAGAGAACAAAGTCCACCTGCGAAAATAATGTGATAACAACGGTAATTCTTTTTCTCCTAACCGGATATTGCCTAAGAAGCTTTTTATCGTCATCTTGTATATAACACTGACGAAGATTTTTCAATAATATGAACGTTCATAATCGTATACAAATTTCTTCCAAGTCTATGTCAGAGTTTCTTCTACATACTCCCATCAGCTTGAGCTACGGATTACTCAGTGCCGTGTGTGCTTTTGTTTTTGTGTTTGTGTGTGTGTGTGTGTGTGTGTGTGTGTGTGTGTGTGTGTGTGAGAGAGAGAGAGAGAGAGAGAGTATTTACCTCGATATGATAGCGAGACGAGAAATGAGTCAGCACTACAGTTTGGTTCCGAATCCATTGTGCGTGTTCCATAATCTGCAATTCCAAGAAATCAAAAGTCCAGACGAAGATATCCCAAAATTTTAACACTGGAGATTTCTTGTGTCAAAATAATACGAGCCTCTCTTTCCAAAAGGGAGTAAAAAAAAATCCAGAAAATCACATGAATACGACATGACTTACATCGGAGCTCAAAGAGACCCACAGCAGTTATTTTTTTAACAAATTCAAATACCTCGGATAAATGAGTATGACCATGTTCTCGAGCGTGCTCAACACTGACACTCTCGTCCAAAAATGTTGCCTGTCAAAAGAATATAAAAAATGATCGAAAAAAGAAAAACAAAATCGTGCATTTGTATATAGTAAGGTTGACAAAATTAGATGCTAAAAAGAATATAATTACTTCGGTAATTAGAATTTTCGCCCGCAAGGCATCAGCACTTCGTGGGTCAAGGAAAAAGTCCGACGTTGTATCTCCGGTGAAGGCCACCTCGGGTGATAAGATAGTATCTGTAATCTGAAAAAGCGAACGAGCAACAAAGAATAAGTTTTTCACACTACGAATAGATACATGAACTAAATAAATAAGAGGTGTGCATTGTATGCAAGGACAACAAACCTCAACTCCAGACTTCTTAAGTTTCTCGATTTGTTTCCCTTTTAAATGCGTGTATTGTTTTCTCAGTTTCTTTCTTACAGAGTAAATCACATAACCCTGCAAATAATAAATAAATAAATAATTCTATCAATCAGTTCAAGTGTTTTCTACCTAATTCGGGAATCTAATCATTTTACGGAATAGGCTATTACGTAAACAAGAAATCATGTAAACGACGGAGCAGTGCACCTGGCTGGGTATAACATGGTGCGTTTCAAATGGCCGTACAACAATATCATTCCGCATTTCATATGTTTCACCTGAAAAAAAAATTTTTACTAGTTTATATCGAATGATAGATACAAAACGGTTAACGAAACATCGAGCGAAAAAAATAAAATTAATTACCTACATCCAGGGGTACCAAATCAACGTTCAGCTCCACCCGACCCATGACCCTATGAATATCGATTAGTCGTTCGACATCCTCCTTTATGCATGGAGGCACAAAGACTGTAGGTGGTTTTAAGTTGTATAGACCACGAGTAGCTATATACATCGGCAGTCCACCCTAAAATCAATAGACGGCAAAAACTCAATGCAAATTTTATTTCCGAGTACCACCGAGCAATGTCATGTGGGAGTGGAACAGAATAAAAAGAAATAAAATCTACAACAAATCAACAATATCAAACGTGTGACACCAAATGATATCATTTCCGTAAGATACAGAAACAATCACAAAACGCGCTCACAAGATTCCACGAGTGCAACGGATCTTATTTCGGGAATTTCCAAGAAAATACGATCGGTTATGGCCGATGATATTATGTCGGGCACAAAGTAAAATAGGTATTGAAGTTAGTAACGAAATAATACGAGTTGAATTCCGAACTTATTAAGCAAATGTACGTTTTTTAGTCCAAATTTACTGATTGGTTAGCATTATCCAAATCGGAAGGGAGAACGAATTCACACTTCGTTGAGTAACTTTAACTCAAGACAAACCAAAGCATCACCATACAAATAGTCATATTCACTTCCCAAATACTAAAAAAAGTAAAAAAAAAAACTACCAATTCAGACACACTGCGGCATTTTATCGAACACAAAGAGGGGTCGAAGAAATGCAACTAAAATGGAAAAAAAAAAAGAAAAGAAAAGGGAGATAATGAAAAAAGAAGTAAAGAAAGCATACAATGTGATCGAGGTGAGCATGGGTGATGAACAGAAAATTCTGCTGGACAGCTCTTGAAGGGCACCTCCCAATATCGAAAGCGGTCTTCAATTCCGGCACGATAACACAAGTTTCGTGGCCGCCGATTGACAGCCCTTCGACGGAGTAGCCGTCTAAGCCGACCCCTTTCCGGTTGACCTCAGCCCTAGCCTTTCTGTACTCCTCTTCCTCAATTGCCCGCCCAATTGCTGATAAAAAGCCGGAACCGCCGCCGCCACCGCCGCCGCCGCCGCCACCGGCGACGACGGCGTCACTAACACATGCAATAACTGAGCGGCGAGTTTGCGGCGGAAGGTGGTGCTTGTGGGTTGCCGGAGTTGGGTGAAATGGGTGGAGATTCAACAAGTTCGAGGTGGTGGGGTTTAGTGTTATCATTTGGTTGTTTGTTTTGAGAGGGAATGGGAAATTTCTGCACAAGCACAACATTCTATCTTTGTTTCCCTAATTTTTTTTTTTTTTATGTAATGAAAAAATAAATACTTGGTGAGTTGCACAAAATTGGAGTAATCACAAATGGTACTGGAAATTGGAACGAAATTTTCGAATCCGGTCGATTTTGAACCGAAAATTTTCTAATTTTGGAACAATATTTTCAATTTGAATTCCAAAATTCCGACTTCCGAAATTATTTGGATCGGAATTGGAATATATATGAGATTCCGATTTTTTTATCGGATTTCAGTTTATAAAATTCCGATTTTTTCTTCCTGAATGTTTCACTACCAAAATTATTATGTATTATATATTTTAGATAACCAAGAGTTGGAAATTTCCGAATTCCGCTGATTTTATTTTTTCGATGTTTTTTGAACAGGATTGAATCTAATTTTTCACTTAAAAAAATAGATTTTTTTTTCGAAATGGCTAATTCATATCCAATCCGTCCTATTTACACTCCTAATTTCAATGTTCTGTAGAATAATCTCATTCTTACGAAGAAATTGGAAAAAAAAATTCGAATTCCAAATTTTCATATCCCAATACTTTTTTTTTTAAATATATTTTTCATATCGAAATTATGAAAGTTTCGATATCCGATTTTCTCCAAATATTATTGAAACATTATAAAAATATATATTAGATTTCGATTTTCTATCTGATTTTAATTTTCGAAATATTTTTAACTTTTTTCAAAAATTACACTTATAACAAATAAATATAAAATAACCAAAGGAGCCAAGATCTCACCAAGAATTTCAAATCAAAATTTTCTTGAAAATTCAGCTTACAATCAGTGGACAACATAAGATAGATAAACAAGAAAATATAATAAAAGACTAAAAACAAAGAATGTAATAATAAAAATAACTGTCAGATATTCACCACTTGAACTGCCAAAAAAGCCTATAATCTGCATTACACAAATTAAAAGAGTTTTAAGCATGCATCATCATACAAGAACTAACACGAAAATCCGAGATGAAATTACTACTAATCGAGTAAAAACGTGCATCAGTTGCACGAGGGTGACGAGTACAGAAGAATAAATATAACTTTTTTTTTTGTTTTTTTTTTTAAATAATTTCTGAGTGAATCACGGAATTAGTTTCCTGACCTGCCCCTATTGAGAAAAAAAGGATCTAACGAAATTCGTCGTGGTATCCGTAATCATCATCTTCACCCTCGTCAAATACAGCGCTGTAGAAAACATACGGATTATCTACCATTTCAGTCAAGCTCAAACGCCCGTCCTTATCCGTATCAGCCTGCAATAAATCACGCGTTTTCAAACTTCAATCGAGTCGATTCATCGCAAGCAGAAAAAAAATAAAAAAAAAGGGGGCAAATTACGGCCACCGCCTTGAGGTAAGGTGAAATTACGAAAAAACCCTTCTTGTTTGGGTAAGAACAACCACCCCTAAACTATGTATTTTCTTACGAAAAAACCCCTCATTTAGTAGGTAAATTTGACATCCTAAGGGCGGACGTGTAAGTAAGGCCGGAAGTGTAAGACAATACATAGTTGAAGGTTGGTTGTAATTACTACCAAAACAGGAGGTGTTTTTTCTGGTCTTACCAAAACAGGAGAGGGGTTTTAGTAATTTGCCCAAAAAAAAAAAGATGATTAATCAAGCTTATTACTCCCTCAGTTCCATAATGTGTCGTTTAAGGTATTTACACACATTAAGAAAGTTATTAAATACGGGTGAAATTTTAGGCCACACACATATAAAAGACTAATATAACCTTCACCATTTAATGAGACGACAAGAGAGAGTTAATGCTTCATAGAGTTGGATTAATAAGGGTAAAACAGGAATAAAAAAGAACGTGCATTTAAAAAGTGAAAGATAATAGGAAACAAAAAAAAATCTCTAAAGCGACGAGGGAGTAGTTTTTAGGCAATTTTGGTTTGCAAATTTATTTTCGGATCATTCGTTTAATCTGCAAATAATTTCGAAATCTTCCTCGATGACATCATTGCTGACATCACCGTGCCTAAAAACGTTTATTATACCTGCTGCATGATGTAATCTGTCTGCTGTTTTGCGTAATAACGCTCGGATGGATGAACTTTTCCAATAATGGGGAGAATTTCTACGTCCGACAGATATCTGCAATATAAAATAATATTTTACGTTAATTTCGTGTAAATTAAAGCATTTTATCCCCACATATCAATCAATTTAAACAACAGAAATAATTATTTTATTTTATTACCCGTCACCATCTTTGTCGAGCTGGGCGAATAAAATTTTAGCGGGGGCCTCTTCGGGGTTATCGGCCTCGTGGGTAGAAGAATTGTGGCTCTCTTCGTCGTAATTTCTGACCAAGTCAAACAACCCGTGGAAAAACTCTTTGAAGTTGACCTTACCATCTTTGTCACTATCTCGTTCCCTGCTCGAGAAAAGATTGATTAGCTAAATTAAAATTTAACTCTCCTAATAGCAAATACATACAGATATGATGGAAAACATATTAAAACTTGCTTCACTATAAATCAGCAATGTATGAGAAATAAGAAATAAGAAAAAAAAAGAATTGTTTAATAAATATAAGAAATAGAATCGAGATGCCATGATTCGAAAATTTTGTTCGTCTTCAACCGTGGTGAACTAGTGTTGGACTGCTGGTTGTTCGTATCATTACAAATTTCCTTTTCTTCCACAGAAGAAATCAGAATTACCGAAATACCACAACAGCACAAAAGAAACCAATACATGCAGGGATTTCACCAAACACCTCAGGAACCAAATCGAAAGCCGTTATTTCAGACCGAAAATTTGGCCATTTTTCGGAATTACCGGTATATTTGTTGAAGATTGTACTCTTAGAATTAACAGAACAGAGCGAAGATTGACGGACATAATAACAACAATAATTTCTCTATCATGTTAAAAAAAACGAAGTACAACTTTCAAAAAATCTCAAAACTTAGTGAAGAGGCCCGTCATCATTTGAGTATTGTACTTGAAACTTGTGTTTCGACTTTCAGTGATACTTCTAGTTAAAGTCGGAACAAATCACCAAACGGCATATTCCTTGAAAAATAGTGACATGGACAATATAACTCCAAGTATTTAGTATCTAAGCAACTTCTACGAAAGAAGGAATATATGAAAGAGTAATACCGATCCTATATATGCATATAATGCATGCCGATGAAAGAAGTTTTTAGCCACATAGAAATGGAAGAAACTCTTCCATGAAAGAAGAATCAAAAGATAAGATTATATACTAAAAAAGTATTCGTCTACATATCGGGAAATTTTCAGTTATTTTAAGGACTAAGTTTCATAACACATTACACGATTCCAAAAGACGAAATGATGCATGATAGGCATGAGCATGGTGCTTCATTCTTGTTTATTGCTTTAATTCTCCTTTGTTTGGGTGTAGAGGTGGGTTAGATAATTTAATTTTATAGTTCAATCAACCCCACAGCATCGACAAAGTCGGATTAACAACAAATATTAATCCAAAATTTTCGATAAAACTGAATTATACTGAAGTAAAGTACCGTATTTCTTCCTTGCACAACCACAGAAGCAACTTGGGATTGTTGGTGTCAGCTGGATGGAGAAAACTATAAACAAGAAAAGGAAAAAAACAATATTAGATCGAGTAGTTGATGACGAACGAACACTGAAAGCACACAAACAAAGAGTCGAGAAAAAAAGGGTAATTTTTGTCCTGAAAATTTCAACTTTCTTAGCTGATCAAGAAACTCACTCATTAAACTCCGTAATATTTAAACGGCCGTCTCCATCCGCATCGGATGCATTAAAATGCTCCTCTTTCCACCACCCCATTTCATATCCAAACGAGTCTTTACCTAAACAAAACAATAAAATCAAAAATCAAGAACAATGCATTACATTATAGTGCTACTCTCGTGTTTCCGAATTTGCAAAGGACTAGTTCTACGGATTGCCATTAGAGAGGTTCGATTAGCTTATATCTGGCTTTAATACTAGTTACCGAAACTTACGATAATCACAAAATGTTGATGCAACAAGATCAGAATCAATAACAAACGAACAAAATAAGCCAGAATAATCAATTCAAAACAGTAAAAAAGTCCAAGATTTAACATGATCAATACCCATAACAATATCCATCAAATCGAAAAAGCGAGAAATTACGGAGAATTTACCCGAATCCTTGACCCAGGTGGGGGGGTCATACTCAGAGAAAGAGACAAACCCATCATTGTTTTTATCATGAACTTCAATTTCTCTCTCGGTTCTATGCAGAACCTCCTTTTGGCTTTGCTTCAAATTCCACTGAATCAACTCGGTCTCACTCACATACCCATCAACCGGGTCAACGTCAATCTTGGGGAACAGGACCACCAGCCTGTTGGTGACGTTGAACTTCTCCTCGTCGTTCAGGTAGTCCTCGGCGTCCATGAAATCCTCCCACTCGGGCTCGGGCTGAGTCGACTGAGTCGACTCGGGCTTGGACTCGGAGCGGTGGTTCTGGAAGTAGTGGTGCTCCCATTGCTTGTCCTCGCGCCTCCGCTCGATGTCGGCGACCAGGGGGTCGAAGGCGAATGAGGCGGCGGAGGCGGGGCGGTGCGGGTCGGAGGAGAGGAGGGGGGTGGTGGAGAAGGTGAAGTTGGAGCGGATTTTGAGGCGGCGGTGGCGATTGCGGTTGCCGGCGGACCTCTTGTCGGCGGAGCGGGAGATGAGGAGCAGGACGGAGACGGCTACTGCGACGTAGATGATCAGTGAGATTCTGCCCATTTCCTACCTGATCAAACCGAAGGTACAAGATTCAGAATTCTTCTCGGCAGAAACATGTGTCCCCACTAATCTGTTTATTAGAACTGATATGAATTATGATTCTTCTCTCTCTACATATATATACATCCATATAAACAACATCTGAAGAGAGAGAGAGAGGGGGGCTGGAGTGGAGGTGGTGGGGGAGAAGTGGGGTAGATCTGGTATTGTTTGGAACTTGGATTGTAAATTATTTTCAAAAATATAAAATTGCAGTAAAAGAAAGAGAAGATGAAAGTAGGAGGAGAACTCCAATTTTGATTTGTATATTTTATTGGGAAAAAATACAGTTTTAGTCCCTCACATTAGTATTGATTCCACGTTTAGTCTCTCTTGTTCACAAAAAACACATTTGATCCATCATGTTTCAAAAATTCAACACTTTTAGTCGTTTCCCATCAATTTTTGGTTAAAACTAACGGAATCAAGCCTATGTCCATCAATGACTTAACTGAGAGACTAATGGTAAATTGACGAAAATGACCAAAAACGTTAAATTATTGAAACATGAGGAACTAAATGTTTTTTTTTTTTTTTTTTTTTTGACATAGGAGGCCAAATATAAAATCGGTGCAAACTTGAGGGGTGAAAACTGTAATTTTTTCATATTTTATTTGTATTTTATACTACTTATTTAATTAATAAACTAGTAATTTAAATGATGATATATTTGAAAATTGAATTTTATGGTGTTCTATCTTTACATATTTGTATAATAAGTCTTAACATTTATAATGTTTATTGTGTTTAATATTAGGGTAAATTGCGGGCAACACTCTGAGGTCGGTCAAATTACGAAAAAGCCCTTTATTTTTGGTTAATTATAATTATCATCAACTATGAATTTTCTTGCACGTCCATTATTGTGGTGTCAAATTTAGTGGAATATTCTAAATGATGTGGAATATTCTCCAATTTGTACCCATTTTACCCAATTCGAGCCCCACATTTTGAATCAAGATGATCATAAAATGCGTTTCTTGACTTGTGAGTTGTGAAAATCAGATTGTGGTGCATCAAAAACTGCATTTTTACAGAAAACGAGTACAAACTAGAGAACATTTCACGGAACCTATAAAATTCTGTTGAATTTGACACCATAAGGATGAACGTGCAAGAAGATTCATAATTGAGGGGTAGTTCTGATTTTTGCTTAATTTGATATGTTATAAATTATTGAAGGACAAATTACAGCCACCCCTGAGGTATGGCTAAATTACGAAAAAACGCCATCTTGTTTGAGTAATTACAACACCCCTACTTTTAGATATTTTTACATAAAAAATATGTAATTCAGTTATTTACCGAACCAAATCGTACATTCAGTTTGGTAAACGGTATGATTCGGGCGTACCGAAATTTCATTTCGATTTTACCGATTTAACATTCCTAAATTTACTTCTAGAGGAATTTTTTCGTAAAATAATACATAGTTAAAAATGGTTGTAATTACCCAAACAATAATGGAGTTCTCGTAATTTGACTATTATTCATGGGGTGGCATCAATTTGCCCATTATTAAATTATATTTACATATTACATTGTTAAACATGGGCCATAACAATCTCAATTTACTTGTACGAACTATTTGAAAATTTTGGGAATGGCCCATATACATCGTTTGGGTAGCTGAGTTGGGCTTTAACTCTGCAGTCAATCAATTTTTTATTTCCTTTTTCTTTTTTCTTTTTACTATTTTTCCTATTATCTCGACGAAAAATAACATCAAGTTACTTAGTAACGAAAATATCAATTTTTGCAACTTATTTTAAGAGAAGTTGGTTTAGCGATGTTTTCGGAGTTTTAGCTTAAAACAACTTGTTTTGATACAGTATAAGCAAATGTGCATTTATGTCTGGCATATAATATTAAGCGTGTTCTCAATTGGCTATGAAAAATTTGTTTCAAAATTTAAAATTGTTAGACCCATATAATATAAAATACAAAATAACAACGATATCTTATATGTAATAATCCAGAAAAAAAAATCATTTTTTTGAAAATTAAAATCAGATTGGAGTTCAAAATCTATTACGTATTCCAATTATATCACAAAAAATATGAAAAATAAATTCGGAATGCATAATAAATAATATTGTTCCGAATTCGAAAATATTCAAGTCGAAATCGACAGTAAATAAATAAATAATAATAAAAATAAAAATAAAAAACAATTAACAATAAAAATAAAAATGAAGAAAGAAAATGAAATCCAGGTCAAATTACAAAAAACCCCCTCTTGTTTGTATAATTACATCTACCCCCCTCAACTATGATTTTTTCTTACACCTCCACCCTTATTGTGCCAAATTCAACATAATCATCTAGATTCCGTGGACGTGGAATGTGCTCTAGTTTGTACTCGTTTTGTGTAAAAATACAGTTTCCGATGCACCACAAACTGATATACACAAGCTAAAAATCACATATTATGATCATCTTGCTTCATAATGTAGAGTTTGAATGGTATAAAATGGGTACAAAAGTGATAATATTTCATATAATCTCGAAGATTCCACTAAATTTGAGGAGCTGAGGGGTGGTTGTAATTATCCAAACAAGAGGGGTGTTTTTGTAATTTGACCATACCTCAGGGGGTGTTTGTAATTTACCCTAATAAAAAAGAATGAAGAAAGAAAATGAAATCCACGCGCTACACTTCCCTAAAGCGGAGTGTAGAAAAGATATGCACAAAAACCAAACCCTTTTGGCGGATCATTCAATCTCTCTCTCTCTCTCTCTCTCTCTCTCTCTCTCTACAGTAACACACTCCCAAACCCAACTCACTCAAAACTGACAAACAACTCTCCCTCGTTTTCATCGACACCCCCCTTCTTCAAATCTTCCCCCACCCACTCTCTCTCTCCTCTCTCTACATTCTCTCTCTCTCCCCTCTATCTCTCCGCAGAAGAACCTCATCGATCAGGATTTCAATTCAACACTCATTTTCGAGGTATTTGTTCTGTTAGCATTCAGCAGATCTAATACCCTCGGTGTAGATTTATCACCGCATTGTTGTTGTTGTTTTTTGATTTTTGGTTTCTATGATGATTTCTCGATAATGAGTTTGTTTTATTTATTTATTTGTTTATTTACTGGTGGTTTGTTATTTCAGGTGGGTTTAATTGATCTGAAAATGGACTCCGCTACCATGACTTTTCGCAGCAACTCTATTCGCTCAACTCCTGTGAGTCGATCAGCTTTACTTTTATTTTATTTCTCCGCCGGTTTTCTTTTTATCGTATCCGTTGCAAATTGTGATGTTCGGGGAATGCATGTGGATTGTGGAGTGATGAATTCAATTTTGAAGGACCATTTTAAAACCACTGAAAAATAATTAATTTTTAATGATGATTTATCAGGTCTTATTCAATTGTCTACACCTTTTTAATTGGTTTCATTTCATGTATATGTACGAAATTGGTTTAATTTTTGCATTAATGTTTCATACTATGTGGAGAATCATTCATTTTTTGGGCTGTTGCTTCTAGTTTTGAACACCTGTGGGCATTCGTATATGGGTGCATGCAAAGTAATTGTTAATATTTTCTATTTTTTTTGTATTATCTGTTGAAGGGTTTATTCATGGGGAGAACATCTGGAATTAGGAGCTCCCAGTGCAGCTTCATTGCAGGAAATAGAGTTAACTTCCCCCGACAAAGGGTTCAGGCTTCTCGAGTTGGTCGCAAATCTGGCAAGCATGGGGGAGCTCTTACTGTTACATGTCGTGATGATAAAATTCTGGTGGCTAACAGAGGAGAGATTGCTGTTCGTGTGATTCGTACTGCCCATGAGATGGGGATCCCTTGTGTTGCGGTTTACTCAACAATAGATAAAGATGCGCTCCATGTTAAACTCGCTGATGAATCTGTCTGCATTGGAGAAGCACCAAGCAGTCAATCGTAAGCCCGCTTGAATGTTTATATATTCTTAAACAATCATATCAATCTTTTTACCGAATCAGTAAGAACTGAACATCATTACAAGTTAGCTTGAAAATTTACTTTAGCTTTATTGTGGTAACTTGTAAAACTTGAAGAGTCACTAAAAAACCTAATCATGTTGATTAATAGGGCAATAGAAGTAGATGTTAATCATTTTTTTGGTTTTCTTACAGTTACTTGGTGATTCCGAATGTCTTATCTGCTGCCATCAGCCGTGGGTGTACTATGCTGCATCCTGGATATGGTTTCCTTTCTGAGAATGCTGTTTTTGTTGAGATGTGCAGAGAGCATGGAATCAACTTTATTGGACCAAATGTAAGTACGTAGAGACGAGTATTTGTATCAACTCAATTTTATGCAATGTAGCCTTAAACCTTGAAATATCTTTTCTGCTAGCAAAGCCGACCAGCTCTGTAGGCAAATAATTGACACATATTCTAGTTACAGACCAACAGCATGACAGCAGGGCTCTTGCACTTCTTGAATATTTGGACTAGCTCTCGTAGATAGTCTCTTGTTGGGTTCAGGCCATTTTACTTGTAATGGGAAGGACCTAGTTGGATTTGTGAATTTATGACTGCATGAAGCTAGGATATGAGAAACATGTTAAACAAACAAGTGACACTGCTATTTGTGGCAATGATAGTAAATAGATGAGATGGTGCTGTCTAGCATCTCCTGACAAAGTTTCCAGTTGGTGGTCTTGTCACTGCTTGTCCATGCTTGTAAATTGCTATTGAAAAAGATCCTGTCCCTGTGCATGATTACCATTTTGGATTGCACTGAATTTTTTTAACTTTTTCTCTGTAAAGTTTTCAGATGATGTGGTAGTTAGCAAAATTCTAATATCCTTTACCTGGGCTGAAAACCATCAATCAGATCCATATCTGGATGCTCATGTAATTAGACTTATATATATACACACATGTGTGTATGTATATCTTTTGATGGTGGTAGGGACTAGGGGTACAGGGTAGATAGAGGGCTTATCAGATAGGATATTTCTGTATACATGTATCCTCCCAGCTCTAATTTTTTGGGTCGCACTAGCACGTTCAATTCGAAAATAAGTAGTATGTTCTTCCTCTGATGTTATTTTTTTCCTTCCAAATGTGAAACGGCTCTTCATTGTGAATTTATCGATATCATTTGGACATTATCCAGACATCATGTAGATCATGACTTTGAAATTTGAAAAATTTACAGCCTGACAGCATTAGAGTCATGGGTGACAAATCTACTGCTAGGGATACAATGAAGAATGCTGGAGTTCCAACTGTCCCTGGAAGTGATGGATTGCTACAGGTATTGCCTTTTGTCAAGATTGTTGCTTCATTTATTACCCTTCCTTCTAAATCGGATATCAATCTTTTATACTCTTAAGAATTTATTTTTTCATGTGTTAAATGATTCTTGCCATTGCAGAGTAACGAAGAAGGAATTAGGCTTGCGAATGAGATTGGTTACCCTGTCATGATCAAGGTAAGTTTACCACATTTAACGTATCTCGCATATTCCGTTAAAGATTATATGAAATTGCAGTGTACTTTTTGCTAGCAGAAATTTTAGTGCAATAACGGTGAAAAAAGATATAGATTCTCTAGGCCTTCACTGGTTGAGCATTTGCTGTTCCTAGCAAGAGTAATATTATGGTTTCAAATTCTTTCTATATATCTCTGCATGTAGTCGCACCCCTCTCGGCCATAAAATCCCCTTTTACGAATAACATCAACTATTAGACATTTCCAGATTCCCTGTTCGTTCATGATTAAGTTTAGCAACTTAATTACCCACTTCGTGTGAAGTGCCTACAGCTTATAGTTTTGCTTGGAAGTATGTTTCTAGTGAACCGCTGAAAAGTGTAAGCAAATCGGTTCATATGCTAATTCATAACAAAGTGTGGTGCTATTGTCTCCTATTCGACGCCATTGTCCATATCTTGAATTCTTATGCTCCCAAAATTTGTTCACAAGTGCATATAACAAGTTGCCCATACCTGTATTCAGTAAAGTCATCCTTGACATGGAATTGTATACAAACAAGTCACACATACATGCATCAATCTTGCTATTAGGGACTTTGTAGATTGAGTTGTTTTGACTTACAAGTTACATTACATCTCTATCATCTTTTTGAAGGCCACCGCCGGTGGAGGAGGACGTGGAATGCGCCTTGCTAAAGAACCTGATGAGTTTGTAAAGTTGTTGCAGGTATTTCACTTTTTCGTAAACCTCATTTTCAAGTAATTTCTCCACTACGACCTTAAGATGACATGTTCTTGTAATCACTGCACCTCTCAAGAGTTTTTAATGTTCCAGTATTATTTGGAAACCCTCTTTCTTGTAGTTATAATTTTCTATAATTGTGAGTGTGCCATGAGTATCACCTTCAACAGGAAGTCTGTTATCAGATCTCTCGCGTACATTATTTGCAAATTCAATCATGTGAAGTTGGTGTTCTGATATATTTGATGTATATTTTCCCAGCTTCTATTTGAAGCATGTATTTTCTTTTCTTTTTTATTATAATTATAATTTTTTTTTTTTGAAAAATCACTTTTGTATGTAGTTTTTCATACAGTTCTAAAAAAATGTAGTTTTTCATGATCACCGAGAAATTATTTCTTCCCTTAGCATAGTGCTTAGTTGCTGAACTTTTTCTGAAATCATAAATGTGAACACTTATACCATGCTCAAAACTTCATGTTTTCTATATGTATGTACCCTACCCTGCTAACATCATTGATCCTTTGGTTTTTATCATACCTGCTATAATTTGAGTTAAATAACCATAAAGCTGTTTCAAAACATCGACATGTATGTTGATATCTAAAACTTTACTTCTTCAAAATTTATCTCTTGAAGTTCATCTGGTTTAAGTGATTGGCTTTGATTTTATATTTTTCTCGGGGACAGCAAGCTAAGAGTGAGGCTGCAGCTGCATTTGGTAATGATGGTGTTTACCTGGAGAAGTATATCCAGAACCCAAGGCATATTGAATTTCAGGTACTAAGATAAGCTTATACTTTTAACAAAGTTCAGTTTCAAAATTGTGCTTCATGCAATGTTAACAAAGTGGAGTCCAAAAATATTAGATTCCGAATTCCGAAGCAAAGCCTCACGTGAGTCTATTCACCTTGCAGTCATAAAGCAAAGCCTCACGTGATAATTATTAATGTTACAAGCATCTTCGTATTATGCTACTCTAATCATTACTATGACTTTTCATTTATATTTTAAAAAACCTGTCTTTATTTGGTAATACTTATTCTGAGCCATATCAGTTCTCATCTTATGGTCTTTGACACCTGCACTGTATGCCATTTTTCAGGTTTTGGCCGACAAATTTGGGAATGTCGTGCACTTTGGAGAGCGTGATTGTAGTATTCAGGTATACATGTCTTAATATTTCCGTTTTGTGAAACCCTAATTCTTGGTATAATCCCTAGTATAGTTACTGATTCATAAAAAATGCTCATTTGCAGAGAAGAAACCAGAAGTTGCTAGAAGAAGCACCTTCTCCTGCATTAACACCGGAGTTGCGAAAAGCCATGGGTGATGCAGCAGTAGCAGCGGCAGCCTCCATAGGTTACATAGGTGTTGGTACAGTCGAGTTTCTTTTGGATGAAAGAGGTTCCTTTTACTTCATGGAGATGAACACTAGGATCCAGGTGAAGAGAAAAGATAGGGCTTGGATAATGTACTAGAATAACCACTTATGCATCCTTGGCATGTTTAAGTAATGGTTCTTTATTCAACTGTATGACAGGTGGAGCATCCAGTTACAGAAATGATATCCTCAGTTGACCTAATTGAGGAACAGATTCGTGTGGCTAGAGGAGAGAAACTTCGTTACGCACAGGTACATTTATCATGGTCTTCAAATATTTTGAAACTGAACTCGAGTTAATTAACATTTGTTGTCTACAGGAAGATATTGTGCTCAGTGGGCATTCGATTGAATGCCGTATTAATGCAGAAGATGCTTTCAAAAACTTCAGACCTGGACCAGGTATATTTCGTAATATATGCATGCCTATAGGATTGTGGAATTCGTTTGTGCATGCTTTTTGGTAGTTCCTGCAACATGATTGAATCAATTTTCTCGAGTTAAAATTCTTATTTAAATTCCCCAAAATTGTCGATGTTGCAACAAAAAGGATGCCGATAATATTAAATATTAAAACACCTGAACACAAATGAATGAAATGATTTGTGGGCTAGGCCCCATCACTTCATATGGTGGTTGAGTTTTACATGTCAATTCCTCTCGTGTGTAATTGAACAGGAAGAATAACTGCTTACTTGCCAGCTGGAGGTCCATTTGTGCGAATGGATAGCCATGTTTATCCAGATTATGTAGTTCCACCAAGTTATGATTCACTACTTGGAAAGGTTGGCCAACTCTTTTTGTAACAACATTTGAATTAAAAAAAAAGTTGTTTAATCCGTTTTTTCTTTTTAAATCGAACAAATTAGCTTCTAGATATCCTAATACATATTGCAAATTTGCAATTTTAGCTTATTGTCTGGGCTCCAACTAGAGAAAGAGCAATCCAGCGCATGAAGAGGGCTCTTAATGAAACCACCATTACAGGTAAATATCTTTTGGCTTTGATTTCGTCTCATCATTGACATTCAAAAGTTACGAAAAAAGCAAGAGTATGTTTTCACAGCGTGTCTTCAGTTGCTATCTCTCGTTTAAACTCAAAGCAAGGGATAATTTACTATGTGCAGTTTTATAAAAACGACTCTGAATCTTGCAGCATTTTATATTGTCCTCTCTTAAATTCTCCAATACTTTGTCTATGAATCTCTGTCTGAAGTTATTCTCTTTTTGGCTAGGTGTTCCAACAACAATTGAATACCATAAACTTATCCTTGAAATTGAGGTACGTTTTTACAGTTTATGAAAATTGGTACTCTCGTCTTCAGAATTTATATGTATATATATCTCTTTGTTATGCCATAGGACTTCAAAAACGGAAAGGTGGATACAGCTTTTATCCCAAAACATGAACAAGAACTTGCTGCGGTAAGGAACTCGACTCACTATGAAATAGCATAACTCTTTACTTCTCAAATAGCATATTCTTGTGTCATCGAAACGGACTTATATCTGTTACTAGAAAGAAAATAAATATAAAAATTAAATCGTGATATTGTTGAAACCATCCTATAACAACACCACTCTAAATGTGCATGAAATAAGAGAATCAACGAGATTTGTGTAGCGTTTTGCCTTTCTAGTTTACCTTTTTCTGTTTTATATTTCCTAAGTTTCTGATTTTAATTTTCTCTGTAACAAATTTGTTTATATAATCTGAGTGGTTTTCGAATCGAACATATAAAAAAGACCATCATACACAAAAAGCAGTTATTGCTTGTTATACACATCACTCTTTTGATGCCTTGTCATTTGTTCCCACCATCCTTACTATCAACTGCAATTATTTCGGACGCTCGTTGATTCCTTTTGAATTTACGATGCAGCCCCTGCCAAGTCAACCCTTGACATCTCAGATAGAACTGGTCAACGCATCTTCTTGAGGAGCAAAAGTAAGCTTTCTCTTTGAGTTCTCAACCTGGATAAATCGGTTTCCAACAAAGATAGTTACTTATTCGATAGATGCGCGCTTTTTTTTTTTTTTACATGTATTCAAATGTATGAACGGACGCGGTATTTTAATTTATTTTTTCCGGTCTTTTTATTGTCATAAATTAGCCTCAGTTGTAAGTGACGGATTCATTCAACCCATCTGTTTTCGTGTTTGTCGAATCTTTCTTGGTATCGAAAAATCATCATTCAAGTAGTTATTTTAACTAGTAATTATTTGACTATCATTGCCTACTTACAATTAAAATAATCAGTCTGTCCAAATCTGGTACTATGGATAGGATAATTTAATACTGGGATATCGTACAGGAGGCAATGTTGTTATATCTGTCTACAAAAAAAGAATTATATAATGAGTAAAGAAGAATTAAAAGTGTTTGCTAATTTTTTTTAAGAATATTTTAAAATATTTTCTACAGGCAACTGTATCCCATTTTTTATTTAAGATCTATTTAAGCTCATTAAACTTATATAATGAGTAAAAACAACTTATAAGCTTATTATTCAAACATAATAGCTTATGAGCTCTTAAAACAACTGATTTTTTTTTTTTTTTTTAATTTATTAATTAAAAAGTTGCAAAGAGAGAAAAATACATGTGACAGTCTCCTTTATTCATGTATAAATTTATTTAAAAAAAGTTAATAAATACATTCACGTGACTTAGCCCGTGAGCAATAGATATTTAAGTGGAGAAAACTATTTAAATTGAAACAATTTGATGAGCCAATTCATTACCCACTTGTATGTGGCCTACATGGGGGGTGGGGGTGGGGGTGGGGGGACCTTTTGATTTATCCCATCAAATTCAACATGACCTTATAATAACACTATGTCAACATGTAGAGATCGAAATCGGAACGAAATTTTCAAATTCCGTCGATTTTGAAATAAATTTTTTCATTATGTTTTCAAATTTTGGTTTTCGAACCGTTCTTTACAAAACTTGATTTATCTTCAGAAACATATAGTACTAATGACTTCTAAGATTCGAATGCATTTCGATTTTCGAGATTTTTCAAAATCGAAATTGAAAATATGATATTGAACTTCCAAAAACAACTTGAAATTTTTCTAAGAATATATATTTTTTTTATCAGATTCATCGGAATTTCCACTTCAAATCAAAATCCATATTCCTGTAAGTATTAGCGGAGCCAGGATTTTAAGCCCCGATGGCCAAATGCATTAAATATTTTTTATAGAGGGAACCGTTAATGCTATTATACACGATTGTTTTTTTATATTATATAAATATAAAATAATAGTGATTTGGGAAATGTTGTCGGGGTATGACCCCGGACTCTATACTGGTTCCGCCACTGTTCGTAGGACCCACACCCACACAAACTATGTGATGTGTGTGTATTGTGCAGTCGTTGCACTTGCTTTTAGTGGTCTGCTGATTTTTCAGATAACCCATCACCATCATCCAACAAATTTCTTGCAGGACAACCGCCCCCCACCCCCACCCCCACCCCCTCAGATTTATCATCTATTTTTTGGCCCCCATTGCAAACTTCTTGTATTGAAATTTTGCTGCTTCTAGTAAATTGTAAAAACAAAAAAAAAAAACAAAAAAAAAAATATGGTAGGAGATTGTTATATTTATTATACGCGCAGCGGCGAGTGTACACATTCTTGTGATTATTAAAGTGTATAGACTATAGATTATAGATCATGTTTGGTAGACTATAGGCTTGTCCTTTTTCGTAACTCAATCATCCTTAAATTTAGGGCAAATTACGCCACCCCTGAGGAATGGTCAAATTATGAAAATTCCCCTTCTATTTGGGTAATTACAGTCACCATTCTCAACTATGTAATATCTTACGAAAATACCCTTCTAAAGGTAAGGTTAGGGATGTTAAATCAGTAAGACCAAACCAAATTCTTGGTGCGCCGATATTTTATACCATTTATCGAACTAAATATAAGATTTGGGTCGGTAAATAACCGAATTACATAAATTTTATGTAAAAATATTTAAAATGAGGGGGTGATTGTAATTATCCAAACAATAGGGTTTTTTTCGTAATTTGGCCATACCTCAGGGGTGGTCGTAATTTGCCCTTAAATTTAATTTCGTTAAAAAAACAGATCATGAATATTCTAGATTTTGCTCTTCGGCTCCTAAGGCTTTTTTTTTTTTTTTTTTTTTGACTTGTCAGTTGTAAAGTTGTAAAGCATGTAATTTTATATAGGGTAAATTACACACACCCCCCTGAGGTATGCTTAAATAACTGTAAGGTCCTTGTGGTATCGATAATTACACTTAGCCCCCTGAAACGTAGTCAGAAACTCTAATGGGATAATGAATTGGATACGTTATTCCGATAGGTTCTAACGGACTATGTC